GACCTGAGCCAAGACCAAGAGTTGGACGCTTGACTGACTGAGCCCCCCAGGCGGCCTCCGATTGACTTATTAAGATCCCCCCCCAACCCCCAGCCCCGTGTATCCTGTGAGCATCTGCTCGGGTCATTAAGCCTTCACTGCTGGTGGTGGTTCACAAGGCGCCTGGCAGCTGGGGGGTCATGCCAGGCCCTCTGTTGGCGTCTAGCGTTGAACCAGAGGCTGGTTCCAGCCCTCCTGGGCATCCTGGGAGCAGGGTGTTCCCTCCCTTTAGTCTCTGGGGGGTACTGGGCCCTGAGGTGGGCACCTCACCCCAGCCCGCGCTCCACATGGCGGGGCTTCCCACCACCTGGCGGCAGCCCGTGTCACCACACACACACCTCCAGGTTTATTCAGAGACACTGGGAAGTTACTGTGATTCTTCAGAGGTAAAAGTCCAGGAGAAAACGTGAGCTGCGAAGGAGACCGGGAGACCAGGATTGCGGGAGGTGGTTGGGGAGCTATCATGTTTCAGATTTTTTTGTTTTAAAGCTTACTTATTTTGAGAGAGCGCACATGTGAGTGGGGAAGGGCAGAGAGAGGGAGGGAGACTCCCAAGCAGGCTCCTGGCTGTCAGCACGGAGCCTGATGCTGGGCTTTACCCCGTGAACTTTGAGATCCTGACCAAGAGTCAGACCTAACCAACTGAGGCACCTGGGTGCCCCCAGGGGAGTTGCAGTTTCAATGTTTGTTTATTTCTGAAAGAGAGAGGGAGGCAGAGCGTGAGCAGGGAGGGGCAGAGAGAGGGAGACACAGAATCCAAAGCAGGCTCCAAGCTCCCAGCTGTCAGCACAGAGCCCGACGCGGGGCTTGAACTCCCAAACCATGAGATCATCACCTAAGTTGAAGTTGGCCGCTTAACTGACTGAGCCACCCAGGCACTCCTGGGGGGAGCAGTTTATAAATCAAGGTGCTCAGGGACCTCTGTCATTCTGGTGGCATTTGAGCAGACTTCAGGGACATCAGGCCCACCTAAATAGCTGGGGGAGGAATGTTTTAGAAGAGGGGGTGTCAAGTGCAAAGGCCCCGAGGCAGGATGTTCTTGGCACATGGACAACACGAGGAAGTGGCCAAGGTGGCTGCTGTGGAATCGAGGCCACTAGGGGTGGGTACAGCGTCCCCCAAGGGGCAGAGGGTGACCTGGGGGGACGGTGGGCAGCGAGGGGTCTGTGTGGAACAAGGACCTTGCTGTTGCGTTTTGAAATTGGAGCCAGCTGGGGATTGACATTGGGGGTAGGGGTGCCGTGAGTGCGGCCCGCGTCTCTGCTCGGAGCGGCTGGAGGGGTGGAGCCGCCCCTGTTTTCAGTGGATGACGAAGGCTGGGGTTTGGGGGACCCCCTCCCACCGTGCAGGACATGCTGCGCCCCGGCCGAGGTGGCAGTGAGCCTCCCACCTGCCTCTGGGCCTCCTGGGGTGGCAGAAAACCCCAGCACGGTCCCCGCAATGGCGTCATCCAGAAGTAGGAGCTCCGGAAGGGACCCCAGGCTCTGGCTCTCCTGTGACGAGGCCACCTGCCTGCCTTGTACTGTTGGCCGTGTCTCCTGAGCAGCCCCCCTGAGGACGTGGGGTCGAGGTGGTCCTCTGGGCTTTCCCCTCAGCCTTAGGTACGTCGAACCCCCGCCCCCAAGAAATAATTGCCCCTTGGCCCTTTGGGCAGGTCTGGGCACGTCTGCAGGCGGGCTGTGTGCACCTCACCCCTCAATCAGAGGCCCTCTGCCAGGGCCCGAAGCAGGACTCCGCGGGGACCAGCCAGGCCCTCGGCGGACAGGCACAGATCGGCAGGGACGGGCGTGTGCCCCAGGCAGAGCTGGGGTACCGACCCCAGTGGTCTGGCTTCGGAGCCCAAGCTGGTTTTAAATTCCGGTCGTGTTTGCTTTTAAATAGGTTGCCTGTTGTGGTTTGGAACTCAGAAGGTTCTGGAGCAGGGCTTGGCCGACTAGGGCCCGGGGGCCAACTGCACTGACTGTTCTCCCGCAGCCGCGCTCACCCGCAGCAGCGCCCGTTTGTGTGCCGGGTCTGGTGGCTCTGGTGGTATGAGGCCACCTGGGGACATGGAGGCAGAGGCCGTGCGGCCCACAGAAACCAAGGTGTTGGCACTGCAGCCCCTCGGCAGATAGTCTGTTCGCCACCTGGGGAGGGCTGGGGCAGCACGAGGAACGCGGACTCCTTGGGGTGCCCGGGGGCTCAGTCACCTGAGCGTCTGACTCTTGATCTCGGCTCAGGTCGATCTCACGGTTTGTGAGTTCAAGCCCCTCATCGGGCTCTGTGCTGACGGCGAGGAGCCTGCTTGGGATCCTGTCTCTGCCCTGCTCTCTCTGCCCCTCCTCTGCTTGTGTGCTTCTCCCCTCCCTCCTCCTCTCTCTTTCTCTCAGAATAAATAAACTTAAAAAAGCGCTGACGCCTTATGTGTCCCAGTCACTGGGAGGCGGTGACTGTGACCAGTTCTCGGAGCCCCTTCCGCAGAGATGTCTTTGGCGCAGCTCACTCCCTGTGCTGGTGACGCAGATCCGGGCGTGACACACACCTGCTTGCACCAGCTGCTTTCGCCCCACAGAAGCGTCTCGGAGTTAACTCCTTCTCGGACCTTGAAGCGCTTCCAGATTCTGGCCCGTTTCAGGGCCGCATGGTATTCCTCGTAAGCCGCCCTGGAGCGTAGGTAACGTCTGCGCCCCGTGTGGGGCTCGAACTCACACCCCGAGATCAGGAGCCACCGCTCCACCAACGGAGCTGGCCAGGCCCCCTTCCGGTGAAGCTTCACACGCGCTTCGGCCGAGGTGTAATTTCCACGCGACACGGTCCCCAGATACTCAGCGTGTGGTCGAGTCTCCCCACAGGCACATCCCCGGTGCCCCAGCCGCCGTAGGCACAGCGGGTTGCCGCCGTCCCTGCGCCGGGGCTGTGGATTTGCCGCGCGGTCGCCTTGGTCGCATCGGTTTTGTGGTTGTCCTGTTTCTGCACCGGCAGCACCCGGCTGGTTCCCGGGTCAGGGCCCGTGTGCAAGTCTTTCCCGGGGCCTGTTTCTGTGGGAACGGGGCGCGAGTTTCTCTTCGTCAGAGACTGGCCGGCCGCCCCCACAGGAGGGGCTGTGCCCGCACCCCCGTCAGCACTCAAGGTTGTCGCTCTGGGCTGTAGCCAGTGGGCGTGTCAAGGTTGAAGCCTGGGCCAAACCCCAAGGGCCTGCGTGTTTGCCGGTATTTGCTGAAGGACTTTTGCGTCTGTGTTCGAGAGGGATGTGCAGTGTTGCTTTTTCTTTAAACGTTTGTTTAATTGGAGACCGAGAGTGCATGTGGCGTGGGGGTGGGGGGGCAGGGGGGGAGAGTCCGAAGCAGGCTGCGCACTGTCCACACAGACCCCGACGTGGGGCCCAAACCCACCAACTGTGAGTTCGTGACCCGAGCCAGACACTAACCGACAGCCACGCAGGTGCCCCGACAGCGTTTGTGAAGCGCCTGAGAGAATTCCCCGATTGCGTCTGCAGTTTTCGTTTGTGGAAAAGTTTTCAGTTATGAGCTCAGCTTCCCTGACTGATAAAGGGCTTTTCACACTTCCTCTATGTTTTGGTGTCAGTTTGATAACTTGCGTGTTTGGAAGAATCAGTCTATTTCGTCTGCGTCATCAGATGTATTGGCATAAAGTTGTTCATCTCGTTCCTGTATTAAACTAAGAGGCTGCGGGCTCTGTGCTCTTGTCCGTGTTTCATCCCGACAGCCTGTGTTCCCACGATCTTCTCTTCCTGTTTGTTATAGCCAGTTGATGGAAGAACTCCAGCTTGAGTAGTTTTCTTTCTTGCTGTTTTTGTTTTTAATTTTCTTTCTTCTGATGACTTTGGTTGGGTGTCTTGTGGAGGAAGTGTTAAGTCATTCATTTGAAACCTTTTTCTGTCTTTCTTTAATAGAAGCATTTAAAGCTATGAGTTTGCGGGGCGCCTGGGTGGCTTAGTCGGTTAAGCGTCCAACTTTCGCTTAGGTCATGATCTCACGGTTCATGGGTTCGAGCCCCGCGTCAGGCTCTGTGCTGACTGCTAGCTCAGAGCCTGGAGCCTGTTTCAGTCTGTGACTCCCTCTCTCTCTGATCCTCCCCTGCTCACGCTGTCTCTCTCTCTCCTAGAAATAAATAAAACATTTAAAAAAATAAAAATAAAAAAATAAAGCTATGAGTTTGCCCCTAACGACGGTGTTAGCTGCTTCCCCCAAGTTTCAGGGCATGGTATGTTCTCATTCGATTCAGAGCATTTTCTGATCCCCCTGGTTCTCAACGCAGCTGTGGTTGAAGGCGCAGAGCCAGTTTGTCACCGCCCTGTCCCTGTCCCCGGAACACACTCCCCCACTTCTGCACCCAGCGCCTTGTAATGACTGGTGTGGCCCCATATGTGCTGGCCCTGCTGTGAGCTGGGCCGCTCCGTGACTCTTGGCCGTGAATGCCCAAGGCAGGACCTGTGCCCGGCTTGTCCCCGTCCCCTCCAGCAGTGCGTGCAGGGCCTCAGCCGAGCACCGCACAGACAGGTACGCACTCGGCGGGGTCCAGAACAGCTGCGTGAGGTAGGCGCACAGTTGTTGCTGGCGAGTTACAGTCATGGAGAAAGCAGGCTCCCAGTGCCGGGGCTGTGGCCCAAGGGCATGCCGTCAGGCCCACGGCATCCTGCCAGCCCGCAGCCCCCTTTCCCTGAGCCTGGTGCTTCTCAGTCTTCCTTAGTGACACCTGAACCCTGAGGGCTAAGAAGCCTGCTGCTTCTCAAGGGGGCCCTTCATGGGGAGGTGGGAGGAGGTGTCCCCTGAATCACACGCTGCCATGTGACAGCAGGAAGGGCTGGGCCCCCACCCTGTCGCTAGAGGCCCTGCTTCCTTCCCACATGCCTGGCTGCCCGGGTGGGGCTCAGCCTCCCGGCCCCTGCTCCCCATGGAGGTAGGTACGGTTGGCTCCCTCACTGGGGATCACACGGGACCCTGACCCCGAGTTTGTTTTAGTCCCACAGAATAACGAGAAGCTTCAGGAGAGCCCCTGCATCTTCGCCCTGACGCCAAGGCAAGTGGAGCTGATCCGCAACTCCAGGTGCGCTGTGCCCCGCACCCCTGCTGACCTCCGTGGCGGGCGGTGGACTGGCTTGTACGGGGGCGAACCGGCCTTGGGGTGGGTAAAGCCTCCGGCCGACCCTGTGGAGACCCATCACTCTGCCCCTCCCCTGTCTCCCCCCCCGCCCCCCGCCGTGCTGGACAGTGTGCTCAGTCTGCCTGCTTTCCCTGCCTTTGAGCCGTGGCCCCAAGGCGGGGCAGTGTCCCCTCCCACAGGGCTCCCCTCGGCGCTTTTTTCTTCAGAGACCGGTGCCCCGCGCACTGTGGGGGGCTGAGCAGCACCCCTGGCCCCCACCCACTTGATGGTAGGAGCCCCCCTAGTTGTGAGGAACACGACATCCCTGAGACACTGCCTGGGGTCCTGCAGGGGCCCCGAGCGGGAACAGGTCGGGGACAGAGGCCGCCCCCCAGTCTCTGCTGTCTGAGGCCCTTACCTCCGTGGCTGAGACCAAAGTCCCGGCTGGAGCGGCCACATGTTGGCCACTTGGCACGTGCTGGGCCTGTCTAGCCTACTTAATATCCATGTGGGTGCCCCCTCCTGAATTGTCCAGAGACGGGGGTCACTGGTCCCGGTCAGCAGGGAGCAGTCGGGGGGTGGCTTCAGTCAGCACCCGTGGACTTCGTTACCAGGGCAGGGGGCTAGTCCATCCGGCTCCCGCCTCTCTGACCCCTCTCCTCTCACCCCCTCGGCGCCCAGAGAGCTGCAGCCCGGGATCAAGGCCGTGCAGGTGGTCCTCAGGTAAGCCACCGCCGTTGTGTCCCCCCGGGGCCCCCCCACCCCCACAGCATCTCTTGGACGCCCTGCTTGTGGGCAGGGCCCTGCCCTCCTCTTCCCGCGGTGTTCTCGCCTGTGCACGTGTCCCCAGTAGCCTTGCTCAGCCCCGATCCCGGGTCCTGGGCCCCCCTCGTGTGGTCCAGAGCCACAATCCGCCTGCTGGGCACACAGGCCCCCGTGGCCTCCCCCGTGGCCCACGTCCGCCCTCCCGCCCCTTCCCTGCCTGACGGCCGCGCCGTCCTTGCAGAATTTGCTACTCAGACACCAGCGGCCCCCAGGAGGACCAGTACCCGCCCAACATCGCCGTGAAGGTCAACCACAGCTACTGCTCGGTCCCGGTGAGCGGGGCGCCCGGGCAGCCCCGGGCCTGCTCTAGGGGGTGGGCCACAGGGTGTGGAAGGAACGTCTTTCTGTGGCCTGAGCCCGCGTGTCCGCTTCCAGGGCTACTACCCATCCAACAAGCCCGGAGTGGAGCCCAAGAGGCCGTGCCGCCCCATCAACCTCACTCACCTCATGTACCTTTCCTCGGCCACCAACCGCATCACCGTCACCTGGGGGAACTATGGCAAGGTGAGCAGGGCCGGGATGCTGCCTGCCCGCCCCCCAACGCCCCGGGGGCTCCCCTGTCCGGGCCTGACAGCCCCTCCCCTGCCTCTACCCCCAGAGCTACTCCGTGGCCTTGTACTTGGTGCGACAGTTGACCTCTTCGGAGCTGCTGCAGAGGTTGAAAACCATCGGGGTGAAGCATCCAGAGCTGTGCAAGGCCCTGGGTGAGCTTGCGGTGGGGGTGCTCCCCGGGGGATGGCGGGGGAGGGCAGCCAGTCACAGCGGCCCCCGGCTGGGGCCCAGCGCAGTGAGCCAGGGTCCCGGGCAGGGTGAGCCCCTGGGGGTCGTTCGCACAGTGCCAACGCGGGGCACAGCCTGGAGTTTCAGCCGGAGGCGGGGGCCGGGGACACGGAGGGCAGGCGCAGACCCGGTTTGCAGGTCCCAGATGGTGATACAGTCTGATCCCAGACAGCAGAACGGTCATGTTAAGGGAGCAGGGACACGACACATGGAGCGTTGAGAGTCAGCCACTACCCAGATGGGCAGGTGGAGCGGGTCCTGTCCCTCCTCTCGTGTCCCGGGACCCAGGACTGCCTGGCACACAGCAAAGACTTCGTCTGTTTGACGGCTGTGTAGCCTTAGGCAGGTCACTGGCCTTCACTGATTGCTGTAGCTTCTGACCAGATCCGCACGGTAGCCCTGGGTCAGGGGACTTGGCAATGTCCCCATCCAACCGTTGGGGACACTGAGGCGCAGAGCGGCAGGGCCTCAGCCTGTGTGCTCCACCCGCCACCTCCCACTTCCCCGAAAGAGCCCTTTGTTTGAAAGCGCCCCCCTACCTGCCCATCTCCCTGTGGGGACAATGGCCAGCTTGACCACAGCAGGCAGCTCGACCAGCATTCCGGCTAGTGTGGCGCCTGTAGGCCAGGGGTGAGGGGTGGGGAGGGGGCTGGGCGGCATTCGTGTCGGGGTGGCCCACAGGGCGAGGATGGGGGCTTGGGTGTCTGCTGACCTCAGTGGGTAGCAGGGGGTCCCGGGGCCCAGTGCGTGTGGGGCCGCCTCAGCCGCTGCCTGGATCCCATGTCAGGTTTCCTCTCTGAGGGCAGCCCCAGGCGGGGCCTCGGGCCGCTGGCTGTGTGGTTGCAGGGGGGAGGGGGGCCTGTACTTGGTCTCGCCTGGGGCCTCCTTCCTGTACCCAGTTTTGTGTCTCGGGTCAGGTGGGGGGAGGGGGCCTTGTTTCAAAACCCGATGCGGCTCTGAGGCGAGATTCAGGCGGCGGGAGGGACCCGCGTGGCCTTCGGGACACTCAGGGAGAGCGGAGTGGGGACGAGTACCCTCCCCCTGTGTGGGCGGGAAGGGGCCGCTCCTGGAGGAGGGGGCAGCTCCGGGCCCTCAAGGGCTGGCGTCCTTCAGCCAGTCTGGCCAGTCCCTCCGGTCCCGGAACAGACGGTGCCGCAAAGCCGGAGGGAGGGAGGGAGGAGGGAGCCCGCGGACCACCGGGGTTTCCGCCGGGGTTTCCGCCAGGGTTCGCCGTGCCTCAGTGTCCTTCCAGCGCCTTCAGTCCCACGTTCACAGGCGAGGAGGCGCCTCCCCGGCGCCCGGCTGCCTTTTCCTCTCTCGAGAAATAGCCTTCTCGTTCCTGCCCCCGGGAGTGGGGTGGGTGCGTGGGGGTGGGGCATCGGTGCCTCCCCCCACCCTGAGTGGCTAGCGGCTCCCGCCACCCCCTCGTGTGACTGCCCTCCTCGATGGCTCCATGGGGACCCCCGGTCACACTGACCGCCCTGTCGGCAGCTGTCTGTTGCCCCCACTTTTCTCCCTAGAGAAGCCAGTGGGCCGCAGACCCCGCAGCAGGGGCGGCACACCGGCTTATCCGGGGTAGCCGGCCGCTGCCCAGGGCCCTTCGCAGGTGACCGTCGCAGCCCTGGGCCCCACAGCCGAAACGGGCACCGCATCATCCTGGGGGGTGCTCAGTGCGGGGGCCGTTCTCCCCAAGGTGGGGGCGTGGGCTGCCCTCCCCAGCCTTAGTGGGTGCGGGAGGACCGCGCCCTCGGCCCCGACCCTGCACACACCCGCGTCCCTTCCCCTCACCCCGGCCACCCCCTTGTCCGCAGTCAAAGAGAAGCTGCGCCTGGACCCCGACAGCGAGATCGCCACCACCGGCGTGCGGGTCTCTCTCATCTGCCCGGTGAGTTGGGGCGCGCGCCCCGCGGGGTGAGGGCGGCGCCTGTCCGCGTGGCCTGCTCACCCCGAGGCCTCCCCGCAGCTGGTGAAGATGCGGCTGTCCGTGCCCTGCCGGGCGGAGACCTGCGCCCACCTGCAGTGCTTCGACGCCGTCTTCTACCTCCAGATGAACGAGAAGAAGCCCACCTGGATGTGCCCCGTGTGCGACAAGCCGGCCCCTTATGACCAGCTCATCATCGACGGGTAAGGCGCCGGGGAGCACGGGGTGGCGGGGGGTGGCGGTGACTGAGGAACTGAGCCACGCAGCGTGAGGGGCCCTTCTGGGTGGTTCCAGGCGCCCTTGGAAGGCCTGTGCCCTCCTGGGGGTACTCGTCGGGGCCCATGCTGTGCACGCGGTGGCAGTGGCACCGAGATTGCCCGGGCGCAGGACATCTGCTTGTGACCTCGCGGGTCTGGAGTCCATTCTCCCCCACACCAAGCAGGGACCTTGAGAAGCCCCCACCTCACGGCCGCTGCACAAGACAAAGAGCTGCTTCTGAGGCAGAGAGTTTAGCATGGCCTCCGGCTCCCTACAGGGAAGGTGGGGAAGGACATGTGTCCCCCGAACTCGGGTATGGGCTCTGCTGTGCCCTTTCCTGGGCGGCGCAGCCAGGCCGTGCCTACGACCTAATCAGCAGGACCTCCCCCAGCCACGGGGGACAAGGGAAAAAGGCCGTTCTCCCCAGAAGGGAAACTTTGCTCAGGACTTAGGTTTCCAGAAACTGAGCCCAGCACCTGACTGACCAGCTCGTGCCAGGAGCCCGCCACACCCGTCTGTCCCCAGAGCTGGGGGTGGGGCGAGGGGGAGAGGCTGTGGTCAGGTGGGGTTGGGTCTGAGGGCCAGGCTGCACGGGAGGTCTGTGAGGGCACCTGTGTGTGCCCCACGCCTGGCTGTGGCTCCCAGCCTGTAGGGTTGGGGCTCGGGTGTGTCGCCACATTCTAGTGCTTCTGTCTGGTCACCACACTTAGGGTCTCGCCAGTCCATCTCTCCCAACCATGCCGGGAGGTGAGCCTCATCGTCCCCACCTTACAGATGAGGAAACTGAGGCTCAGGTGGGGTGGTTACCTGCTCCGGGCGCCCCCAGCTCACAGGAGGCCAGGCCAGGATTCAAGCCCAGGTCCAGCCAGCTCTGAATCGGGTCCCCTCTCTGGAGGTCCGAGCCGCCGCGCCCCAGTGCCCCCACGCTGTCTGGCCTCAGGGTGGAGTGCGGAGGCCCCTGGGGCCGGGCACAAGGTCCAGGGCTGAATGGCCGCTCTGTTCCTGGCCTGGCAGCAGCGCGGCCCCGTGCCTGCCTCCCCCCACCCCCACAGGCCCGGAGCCGGTCACCCAGGCTCAAGTGGCAGCAGCTCTGACGGCTCCAGGGGCGGATGGGTCTGGGGCTTGGGGGTGTGGCTGTGCCTCACGAGGACCACTGTCCCAGCATCCCATGGGGACCTGGGCATAGCCAGGGAGGCTTCCTGGAGGCAGGGTCCTTGATTCATGCTTCTCCTCGAGGGTTTGTCATTTTGTCTCATCCCCGGCCTTGCGCTGGGTGATTCCCGGGTCCCTGTGAGGACTGTGTTGCAGACTCTGGGCCGAGTGTGGGGGACTAGGCCAGACAGATAACCCCTATGGCGTGGGCTCTGCCCAGAGGAGGGGGGGAGTGGCGGGAGACGGAGACGTACGTGGCAGGCAGAGGTGTGTGGATGCCAGGGCCACCCTGGGATGGGGGGTGGTCAGTGAGCATGACGATGGGGCTTCCTCTTGTGTGATGGTGGGTGTGGCTGGGGCCCATGACAGCCGTTGCCACCACAGCAATCACACCCCTGTCCCTGACCTGGTCCTTGGCCTGGACCCGGCCTGCGTGGGCCCTCGGCTGCCAGAGATGGTGGGTACCTGTCGGTGGGGAGACTGAGGCCTGGTGGCCAGGAAGTGGCAGGGCAGGAGTGGAACCCAGGCCTGCTGCTTTCTGGCCACATTGGGGTCAGGGAGCTCACCAACCCTCCTCGGGCCTCAGTGTCTCCATTTGTAAAATGGGTGCACCTGGCAGTAGCTCAGTGAAGCTGTGTCTGGGCCGTTATGCTGGGCCTGGCTCGCTGTGGGTGCTGCGTGCGGGGTACTGTTGTCTGTGCGGGGTGCTGTGGCCCCGCTTCTGCCCCAGCTCCCCTCCAGGGCCTCTCTTGGGGGGCTTGTGAGCAGCACCAGCCTTCTGCCCAAGCCCATCTCCTCCTCTGGAAACGGGCAGCGCGGGGTGGGACGGGAGGGAGGCGGCGGCTCGTGTTGGGGGCCAGAGCCCCAGGCTCACGCCGTGTGGCAGTGAGAGCCAGGGCCACCACTGTGCGGTGAGCCGGTGGGGACACCGAGCCCTGGCCACCGCGCTCCCGAAGCCACTTGTGCAGAGGAGAAGCAGGCTGCTTAGCACGCTTCCCCCCCACCCCCTTCCCGAGTTCCGGGCTGGGGGCGGCGGGGACGCTGCCGGCCTGGGAGTCAGCCCCTCGCCCCTCCAGGCTCCTGTCCAAGATCCTGAGCGAGTGCGAGGACGCCGACGAGATTGAGTACCTGGAGGACGGCTCGTGGTGCCCGATCCGCGCCGAGAAGGAGCGCAGCTGCAGCCCGCAGTGCTCCATCCTGGTGCTCGGTGAGTCCCGCCGCTGCGAGTGCGGGCTGCCGGGCGCCGCCGCGTCCCCGGGCGCTCCGCCCCTCGCCGGCCTCCGTTCCCCCCCCTGAGCCCCTGTCCCTGTCGCCCTCAGGCACCTCGGACGCCGGTGGGCTCCTGTCCACCCCTAACCTCAACGGTGGTGGTGGCGGGGGCGGGGGCGCCGCGCTCGCAGGCGCTGCGGGCGGGGGCGGCGCGGCGGGCGGCGCGGAGAACGGGAAGCCGGGAGCCGACGTGGTGGACCTCACGCTGGACAGCTCGTCCTCGTCGGAGGAGGACGAGGAGGAGGAGGATGAGGACGAGGACGAGGAGGGGCCCCGGCCCAAGCGCCGCTGTCCCTTCCAGAAGGGCCTGGTGTCGGCCTGCTGACCGCTCACCGCCGCCGGCGGCCGGACGCTCGACTTTCCTGGTGCTCACCCACGCGGACGGGGCGCAGGCGGGCCTCGGGGTGCAGAGGGAGGGGTGGTTTTGTTTTCTTTATATCGTTCATTTTGTTTTTCCACCCCTTTCCCTGGCTCCTGGCACCTGTACCTCTGGACTCTCCAATCGGAGGATTAAAAAGAAGTAAAATGACAAAAAAAAAAAGTACAAAAAAAGAAAAACGAAACAAAAAAAAGTCAAACTTTAAAAAACGAGGCAAGCCACCCACGCGAGCTGCTTCCCGGCCGGAGCCCGAGCCCCGGGACACCCCGCCCCGCCTCTCCCAGTGACCATTCCAGCTGGTGCAGGGGGCCGGGCCGCGTGGGGTGGGGGGCAGCGGGGGACACCGACGGGCGCCTGCCCCTGCCCCTGGCGGCAGCCGCAACTTTGACATTCGTCTTGTTCCTTTGCTTTTTTTTCTCTGCAAACACGTTCTCTCGCCCAGAGACCCTGGAGCGCACCGCCGAGCAGGGAGCATTTTAGCCAAGAAGCCATGGAGTGGGTTGGGGCTGGGAGGGGGGCGGGGGGCGCAGGGAGAGGGGTGGGGTGGGGTTTGGGGGGGGCCAGGGAGGGTTTAGCCACAGATGTGTTGTATTTTTTGAAAGTGCAATAACTTGGTATTTTGAAGACCCAGCATGTGGCCAGGACCCCCTGTGGAAGGCGGGGGCCCCAGGGTGCGGCGGCGTGTGGCGTGGGGGGGTCTCCGTTTTCTAGCCAGCTACCTCGGTAACTCCAATTCAGGTTAACTTCCCTACGGAACAGCGCAGATGTCCGCAGATGCCGCCACCAGGCCCCTCCTCGGCGGGGCGGGGCGGGGCGGCGGCCGGCCACTCCCCCCGGGGCAGCAGGGACCCCAGCCCCGCCCTCTCCACTTGGGGTGGCTCCTCCCCTCCCCTTTCTTGCTCTTGGGCTTTCTGACGGGTAGAGGCCCGCCGGGCCCGCCTCCCGCGGGAGCCTCACTCTCGTCTTCCAACAGGGCCGGGCCAAGGGCCCCCGGGGACGCCCGGCCTCCCGCCCGGTGTCCCGGTCCCCTGGAGGCCACGCGTGGTTCTCCCACCGCCTCTGCCCTGTTCTGTCTTTGCTTCTTTTCTTCCTTGCTGCCCAGCCCCAGCCCCAGAATAATTTCCTTTGTATAAACAGAACTCTTGTAGTCAGGAAGCAATATCATTTCAGGTCTAAAGAAGAAAGGGACATCAATCTGGCCGAGGGCAAATTCAGTTTTACTGTATAAACTCGGCTGTGCAGCGCGGCCCCCTCCGTCTGCACCGGCCGCTGAGGGCCACAGTTTTCTAATATTTGTATTCTAATTTAATTGTTTTTAAAAAACACAAATAAAAAAGGTCAAGGTGAAGCCACTGAGGCGTCTTCTCTGTGTGTTGGGGCGATGGCTGGGGGCGAGGGCAGCGGAGAACAAAACCTCTGCGTCGACCGCCCCCTTCCACCGCGTCATGTTCAGGATCCACGGCGTGACATTCGTCCAGCGAGGAGGGTTTCGCTTCGACCTGCTGGGCCTGGCATCTGACCGCGTGGTCGGTTGGGGGAGGAGCCGAGCCGGAGCCGCCAGCCCCCAGAACTGTCCCTGCCCGCCTGGGTGGCAAGTGGCCAGCAGGCTCGTAGAAAGGTGCTCGGCCTCCTCACTGGTCACCGGGGAGATGCAGACCGCAGCCGCGAGGCTCGTGGGCGTGGAGAGTGGGGCAGCCGCTCCGGAAGACGGGACGGCAGGCCCTCCCGAGGCCAGACACCGAGTGACCAGCTGACAGCCGTGCCGGCCCCGTCCTCGGCACCCACCCGGAGGTAAAGGGGACAGGCTGTCACGGGAACTCGGACATGCACCTGCACTGCAGCTCAAAGGAGGAAACGCCCAGCGTCCACCTGCGGCCAGCAGGTAGGGAAACGCGCACTCCACGCGCAGACACGGGATCTGGCCACGAGCAGGAGCGAGGCGCCCACACCCGCCACCCCCAGACAGACCCCGAACACACGACGCTAGGGGAGGGAACCAGACACGAGAGGCCACATGTGTGTGATGCGTCCAGAACAGGCTCCTCCATGGACAGGAAGGGGGTTCGGGGGGGAATGTGGCAGTGACTGCTAATGGGGGATGGGGCTTCTGGGGGTCATAGAATGTTCCGGAGCTAGATGAGGTGATGGTTCCATAGTTCCTGGAATGTGCTAAAGCCTCTGGTTTCAGCGGGGAGACCTGTGTGAACACTTTCAATTAAAAACAAGCCTCTCCCAGTGGACTTGGGGCACGTGTGACAGGCCCTCGTGGGGCCGGTGGCCGTCCCAGCCCCCTGCTGGCCCCGCGCTCGCTCAGCCGAGCCGGAGGCCTAGGTTCCCGCTCCACGTGTGCAGCCACGTGACCCCTGGAGCCGTCGCCCTGTGTCCCCCCGCCATGCCCCCTCCAGTGCTCTCCCAGGCCAGGGCCCTTCGGTCCTGTCTGTCACCCACGCCTACCCCCCCCCCCCACAGCCTGGGCCCTGCTGGCCCGACCCCAGCTGGGGAGCAGAAGGGAGGGGCTCTCTCCAGGGCCCTGAAAGTGGCTGTTTGGGAACCCCAACCCAGACGTGGGGGCTGCAGTCCAGGGTCCTTCATCCGTGGGTGGGCTTGGCCCCACTTCCTCCTGGGGGTGCCTGGGGAGCAGCCAGCTCTGTGTCGTGGGGCCGCACTGGGTGGGGGGTTAACAGACTTGGGGTTCCCCAGCCAGCCCCTCCAGAAACCCTGGAGCTGCCCGTCCAGCCACTTCTCCCTGCCCACCCCCGGCCCCCTTCCCGGCGCGGCTGTGGGTCGCCGCCTCGGTGGGGACCCTGACCCTGGGCCTGCCATGCAGGAGACACCCACCTGCCCCAAGAGCCCAGAGGCCAGGTCACCGCAGGGGCCCCTGCTGGTGTGGGTGCGTGAGGCCATACCCTCAGGGAAGGGGGCCCCCAAGCTCCCACCCACCGTCCCCTGCCCCCCCACCTCCCCGACACGAAACACAAAGAACGTCAAAATCAGGCAAATGAGGCAGCAGCGGTCGTAACAGGCTGCGTTTAGTGGTTTTTTTATGTACAAGAAAAATGATTTTTTTTGTCTGGTTTTTCATCTTTTGTCTTTTTGTTTTTATTACTTTTAAAGCTTCTCCCCCCTCCCCCAAAAGTGCATTTTTATCAATTGATTTTTTTTAAATCTCCCACACTTTATAAAGACTCTCAAATACAGTCTATGGAATGTCTGCTCTGTGCTCTGTGCCCCTGGGCACCGCCCCTGCCCCCCCACCCCATTCACCAGGCCCGGCCCCCCAAAGTCCAAGGCACCTCGAATCTGGGCCTGGGAGGGGCGGGGGGGGGACCCCTGGGCCTCAGGAACCCTGGCCACGGCCTCCAGGCAGCCCCGGCATCAGGAGAGGAATCTCCCCAGCCCCTCCACCTCCTGGCCCTGCTCGCCCACCCCCTGTCTAAATCTATGTACTTAGCGCGAGCTAGTCTGAACTCTGAAGTTATGGCTCCTGGGGCGCCCGAGCCCCCGGGCCCTGACCCGTCCTGTGCCAGCCGCCCTCCACCAGGAAGGCTGCTTCCTCAGCTTAAATAATTTTTTAAAATAAAATTGCAAATATAAATATCTTTCTTTCTCAAAAAATAGGATTTTTGCTTTTTTTTTTTTTGTTGGTTTTAAATTTTTTGTCCTGCTTTTCCTTTCACTCTGTCTGCCTCCTACAATCCCGGCTGCCTGGACTGCCTCGGTCCTGGGGGGGCCACCCCAGCCCCAGCCTCGACCCCACCACGTGCGACATGTCCGACGCTGCTCCCCCTTGGCTCCCGCCACCGTCGATGGGTCTCAGTAGTGCAAAGACTCCCCAGAAGGCCCTGGAAGGGGCTGGGGACCCTCCCCTCCCACCTGAGACCCGCCCCTCCCCCCAACCCAGAAGGAAGCATAGGGACAGCCAGGTACAAACGGTGACAAGATGAGATGGCCACATGGAGTCTCCTGGGCAAGCCACCCAAGTGGGGGCCGACTTTGGTATGGCCTGCTGGAGCCCGGCTAGGCGCAGGCCCACACCCGTGCCAGGCTGGGCCTGGTCCGGAACTTTACATTCACTGGGTTTTAAGGGGTTTTTTTTGTTTTGTAGGTTTTTTTTGCCTTTTTTTTTTTTTTTTTTCTCAATCTCAAAAGGCAGGGTCAGGGTTGGGGTCGGGGGCTAGGCAGGGAGCGGTAGCAAGGGTGTTAGCCTCTCTCTCCCAGGTCCCACAGGCCAGGTGACTGCTCCGGGGTGGGGGCGGGTATGAGTGGGAGCCCTCCGGCGCACACACACACCCCGCAGCACACCCCGGAGCTCCCCCTCAACCCTGCTCGGAGCCCCTGGCTCGGACCTCACTCTCGCACACACGCACACACGCACATCCACGCAACTTCACCAAGATGATGGAAATAACAATTTCGCTTTGTTTTTCTTTTCTTTTTTTTTTTTTTTGTACCAGGCAGTTAAAAAAAAAAAACACCCCAAAAAAAGAAAACACAAAAAAAAAACCCCAAACAACCAAACAAAAAAACGTTTTGCTGTGTCCCTTCTGACCAGTCAGCACGCTCCCCCTCAAACACTTTTTTTTGTTTGTTTGTTTCCTGAAACGCGAGAACTCAGCAGTATCTTTGGCAACACTTGATCACGACCTTAATTTAAAGAATAAAAATAAAATCGATCCACGTCTATGTACAGTATGTGATTGCGCGGGGTCAGGGGCCGGGGTCCCGGCGCTGGGCCCATGCGGACGCTGCGGCCCCTGGGACGGGCGGGCGGGCCAGGGGTTAAGGCGGAGTGGGGGACAGGGTGATCAGAAGCGGAGCTCAGAGCTAGGGGCAGGGGTTTAGTGCAATTCCCGAGGAAGTCTGTTAAAAGTGTGCTCGGCGGGGATTCGGCCCTTGCCCCCGCCAGAGTCCCAGAGGCCTTGTCCCCCACCCCCCGTCCAGCCGCCCCCACTGGCCAGGACGACAGCTGTAATTTTTCAGTTGGTTTTATTGCGAAGGGGTGTATGGTGGGGGGGCGCAGGTAGGGGAGAGGTCTGTCCCCTCAGGGAACCTCTCAGCCGGGGTGGGGTGGGGGGGTGGGGTCCCTGGCCTGGGCGCTCGAGCTCTCTGCTTGGCCTCCGAACTCCATGACACCGGGGTGTGAGGGAGGCCACCCGGCCCTGGGCTCCCCTGCCACCCCCCCTCAGGAGGGGGGTCCTGAGACATTTGGGGGGCTGACGGGCTGGGGGGGGGAAGGGGTGATGAATAGTATCCTGTAGAAACAATGATGAAAGTTGCCTTCTTAAAAAGCTTCCCTTTAAAAAAAAAAAAAAAAAAGACAAGACGACGGGGTCCGTCACAGAGCAAAGGGGCACGGGGACACCGGCCAGCAGCTGGGGGGGGGGACAGGGGCACCCCTAACCTTGGGCTTTGATGGGGGAAGGGTCTCGGCTTGGCAGAGCGTCTATTTACAGGGTCCCACGCTAGGCATTGCATATGCGAGAGGGCGTCGGGGGGAGGGTGCCCTGGCCTCTGGCAACATGGTCTCCCCAGCCCTGGCCCCCGTCCGTGGCCTGTGGCTCGGTCAACACCGGGCCTTTGGGGAGCCAGAGGCTGGGGGGAGGCAGGTGCCGGCCCCCAGATTACAGTCAGTGCCTTTGAATAAAAAGAGGGGGTGCCTGGGGGGGGGTATAAGGCCCTGGAGGCGGGGCCCCGCCACCCACCTCGGCGGGGATGGCATGTCCCAGACGGCGGCTCCTTGGTGGCCACAAGGAAGGGCGGCCACGCCGGAGGGCGGGGAGCCCCGAAGTGGGCGAGGGGCGAGGGCAGGGGGCGGCGGGGCGTGGGGGGGACTGGATTGCTCTGGCTGGTTGGAAGGCCAGCCCTCTCTCGGGCCCATCCCTGAGCTGGGGAGTCAGTAAGGAGGGTCCCCGCAGACACGGGTGGCCATCGTATGGCTGGCGGGTGATGAGACACCTCCGAATCAGAACCAAAACGGGACAGAATGGGGGGGGCGGGGGGGGGGACACGGCAGAAACACAAAAACCCCACGGTCCTGCCTGCAAGGCAAGCCCCCGGGGCGAAGCACGAAGAAAACCTCAGAAGACCTCGCCCGGGGCTTCCTGACCCCTTCTCACCTCGGGGAACACAAGTGGATTCTGCATCTGCGGTGGGTTTTTTTTTTTATTATTTTGTACAAAAATAAATTGACTTTTAGGAATTTCTTTTTGCTCTCTCTCTCTCGCTCTCTCTCGCTCGCTCGCTCTCTTGTATTTTTTATTTTTATTTTTTTTTGTCTTTTCGACTTTTCATAGAAGTTGGTTGCAACTTGTAAACATGTTTTTAAATTAAGAATTAAGATAAAGTGTAGTACCCGTTCTGTTACAAAGTGCCAAGACTTCTATTTGTGGTTGGTTGTCTTTTTTTTGTGTTTTTTTGAGTTTTTTGTTTTTTTCCTTTCATTTTGGAAAATCTTGTTTTTTATTGCTTTTGTGACACTAGAACGCCTGGACTCTTCTCCCCTCCTCCCTGCCACCGTGAGACCCTGGGCTCCCTCGGCTCTGGCCTCGTCCACCCCACACTGTCGCCTGCTCCTCTGAGGAAAGTATATTTTATATATATATATCTATATATATCTATATATAAATTTCGTTTTTAAGGAGGAAAAGAAAACAAAAATCTAAAAAGTGCTTTAAAAACTTGGGAGAGGGCTGGAGGGGGGTGGCGGGGAGGGTGAAGACAGAAAAGTTTCGAATCTCCAAACGTCTCGTGGGGTCCGGGCGGCCTGGGTCGGGGAGCACGGCCTGGAGGTGGGGGGGAAGGGGCGGGGCGCCCTGAGCGGCGGTCCGAGGGGGTGTCCGCCAGGGTGTAAGTGCCGTGAAGGGAGGCGGCAGGAGCCCCCCCAGGGAGCCACCCTGGCGCCCCCACCCCCGGCTCCCCTCTCCGGGCCTGGCAATAAATAGATTTGTGTCACAGCGGTCAGGAGACACACAGGACCACAGGCAAGAGTGTGAGGCGGGGAGGCCATCGGGGAGGCGGGGGGAGGGGGAGACCCCCACTTAGTAAGTGCCCTGAGGAAGGAGGGTGGGGGTGGGGACGGGGTGCGTTTTAACGTCCGCTCACAGCGGACAGAGATCATTTAAGGTCTTGTCTGAAAGACTCATAGAAACCAGCGAGGGGATGAAAACAAAAGCCCACCCCAGTGCCCAGCCCCCGCGGCCACCCTCACCCCCGCCTGGGGCCGGGGAGCCCCCAGACTCCGTGCCGGGTGTGCCCGGGGAGGGCCTCAGCATCTAGATGTCCCACAAAAGCCCCAAGCCGAGCCCCGGAACCCGTCGGCGGGGTGGGGGTACGGGGAGCCGGAGCAGGGGGCGGGGTCCCCGCGGAGGGAGAGAGCATCATGAAGGAGAAGAATCTCAGAAAAGCACTACCCTAGATTCTGTGGCGCTTCATATATATATATCTGTATATATATATATAGATATAGATATCTGTATATAGATAGATTTTCTTTTTTTGTGTTTTTGGGGGGGTGGTGGGTGATTCTCTCTCTCTCTCTCTCTCTCTCTCTGTCTCTCTCTCTCTCGGGTTTCTGTTTTCTCTTTTTGGTTTTCAGGCAAGTCCGGCCGCGAAGCTGCCGTCGGCGGTGGCCCCGGCGCCCCCGGCGCCTCCCCCTCCGCCGGCACCCGCTACATTCAACCTGCTCAGGCCGTCGGCGCCCGCCTCCTCCTCGTCCTCGTCCTCGTCCTTAAAGTGCTTCTCCTGGCCGTTGCGGCGGCCGTCGGGGGAGCCGGCCGGGGCCGCGGCGCCGGGGGGGGCGGCGGCCCCCGGGGAGGGGTCGGGCCCCCCGAGCGCCCCGCCCCGCACGCGGGGCTTGCGGCCGCGGCGCGAGGGGACGCCGTTGCAGCCGTCCTTCTTGAGGTGTCTGTGCAGGTGGTCGGAGCGCACGAAGGTCTTGCAGCAGCTGTCACACTGGTAAGGGCGCAGGCCGGTGTGCACGCGCATGTGGTTCTTCAGGTCGTAGTTGTGTGCGAAGGCCGCCCCGCACTGCTGACACAGGTACGGCTTCTCGCCCGTGTGCTTCCTCATGTGCACCTTGAGCTTGTCCTGCCTGGGGGGGGGGGCGGGGGGGGCGGGGGGGGGCGTCAGCGGGCGCCGGGACCACCCAGCGCCATGCGCGCGCGCCCGATGGCCGTGGGCCGGGGCCGTGGGCCCTCCGTGCCGGGGTAGGGACAGTCCCGGGACACCTGGCACCCACAGGGGCTAGAAAACACCTGGCACCCCCCCCACCCCGACTCAAGTGGCAGAACCTCTCCAAACCCTTTCTCTTACCCACAGAAGGAGGAGAATGACGGGCTTTCGTCTCAGGGCTCTGCCTGCGGCACCTGCATTCCCCTGCAACACTAGGCATTTACGGAGTGCCTGCTGAATACCAGACTCTATTTCCAGTGCTGAGAAATACTACAGGGCACGCGGGTGTTTGGTAACAGAGAGGGTGGCCAGCTGTCCTGGTCGCTTAAGACTGAAACGTCCTGCATCCTGGGGCAGCGGGTCTCCACCCCACGGCCCCCCATCTCCGTCAACTCTCCCAGCACCCCTGCCTTTCTCTGCTCCGGCCACACTGGCGTCCTGGCTGTCACCACAGGCGGAGCGCAAGCCTACTTCAGGACCTTTGCACATGCAGTTCGTGCTGCCTGGAGCGCTGTCTAACCAGATCTTCATATCTGAATTCCAGCTCAGAGGCCACTTCCTCAGAGAGGCCCCTCCCCACCTCGCGCTCCGCCCGACCCCACCCCACGGCCCTCCCGCCACCACCATCTTATTCTCAGTCCTGTGCCGGTTTCCTTGTTCCTCATCTGTCTGCCTGACCGGACTGTGCGCCCCCAGACAGCAAGGTCCGGGTGATCGCGGGGCCCCTCCCTGCCCCTCCTGCCCCACCGGGAACAGTGTGGAGCGCGCAGAGCTGACCAACGTAATCAGCCGGAAGGCAACTAAAGTCCAGGCACCAGTCTGTCCGCCACACGGCAGCCACTGCTCACTCGCGGCCCTGAATCCTCGAGACGTGGCCCGTCCAAACCGAGACGGGCCACAAGGCACCCTAGATTCTGAGCGCTTCCTTCGCTTAACGCGTAAGTCTTTGCTTAACGTGTAACATAAAGCGGCTCACTTAGAAGGTTGTGAGTCGATTACACGTTAAACGTTAAGAAAGATGGATGTAAAATATGGCTCAAATTACTTTCACCTGTTCCTTCCTTTCACTTTCTTTTGGAAAATGCGCCTGCCAGAAAATGTAAAATCACAGAGGTGACTCACATGAGCTCATGGCAGAGGATTCCTGCCTGAAACCCCAGGGCAGGGGCAGAGACCGGGGCCTCCAGAACCCTGGCCGGCATCTGACTGGCTCCTTGCTGCGGCCTCTTGCACCTCTACGGCTCAGCCATCCTGGGGCTCTCGCTTTTCACACCCAGCACAGTGGTCAGCGCCAGGACCGACAAACTCCTATTCACTCGTCAAAGCCCCAGCTCAAATGTCCCTCCTCCTCCAGGAAGCCTTTCTCACTCCTCAGAGGCTTGGTCTCTCCAAGGCTCTTCTAGCCCCAGGTGTCCTGCCTCTGGCACCACCCACAGATCGCTAACCCTTTCAAGCCTCCCTACTGCTCTGAAGTTCAAGGCCTGGCCCTTTGCAACCAGACCCCTGCCTCCTCTCCAGCCTTCTTACCCCCATGTGAGTCGACAGAACTCAGGACACAATGAACTAACTCCTCATTCCCTGGACTAACCGGGTCTGTTAGCCCTGGGGGGGTGCAATGGTCAGGAGCTCCCTCCCCTCCACCTCCCTCAGAGTCCACGAACGTGGGCTCCCGCTTGCCCTGTCCAGATCCCAGCACCAGGCCGGGTCCACAGGGAACAGCAGGGACTCAGACTGTTTGAGCAGTGTAGAGATTTCCCCTGGTAAGGCTCAGAGAGGCCAAGTGACTTGCCCCAGGTTGCACAGCAGGTCAGGGGCCACACGGTGGTGGGGTGGGGGTGGAAGCAGCCTGTTTCGTCACCCCGAGCCCTGGCCCGGGTAATTATAGCCCCGGCTGCCACAGGCCCCGCTTACTCAACTCTCTAGTGTGAGTCAGAGGGGCCCCTGGCCTGGAGGAAGGCGTGGGGGCTGGGGCCCTGGGTTGGGGGCAAAGAGGAGCCAGGTGGGCACGCAGGAGTAGAGGCCCAGCCTGGTGCCCCTCTCCCTGCCTCAGTTTCCCTGCCTGGCAAACAGGATCAGCCTGAGTCAGGGTGGGGTGGCCAAAACTCCAGGTCAGAATGAAGCCACCTCAGGCCTGTGATTAGGGGTGTGGGACTCGGGGCGGGCGGGGGGGTGGATTCCGGGGCCCTGCTCAGCCTGGTCACCTCTCCAGACCCTGGCTTGCTGAGCCTCTACAAAGCTGTCCGCGCCCCCACCCCCCTCCGGGCCCAGAGACCCCTGAGGGCAGGGCCCACAGCCACCTTAGGACCCCTGTCTGGAGAAAGAGGGAGCCCCCAAGACTAACAGCCCCCCAATCGCACTAAATGGGGGAGTGGGGGCAGGCCCCCTACTAGAACCCTACCTCCCAGCTGGCACCCTTTACCCGTTGCTTGGGGTCCTGGGCCCTGCACTCTGGGCCACACCCTCTTCTCCTGGCCTGGTGGGGAGGGGTCTGGGGGTCAGCCCCTAGATCCTGTCCCCATGGGGCAGGGCCGGGAAGCTGGGACAATGGCCTCTTTCTTCAGCCTGGGTGGGCGTGGCTGGGGGAACCCCAGGGCGGGTGGGGGTAGGGGGTGATGCTGAGTCACCCAGCCTGGCCAGGCCCCTGCACGCCAGCCCCCCACCCCCACTGGGCTGGCCCACGAGACCCAGCCAGCCAGCTCTGGACTCTTAAGATCCAATCACAAATTCCCCGAGCCCGGCCTCCAGCTCCTCCTGCCTGGGGACCAAGCCCAGTGGCTCCCATGCCCATTTCCCTCCAGCTGCTGCGGGGACCCCCAAGCTGAACTGGCCTCAAGGCCTTTGCTGTGGCGCCACCCTCGCCCTCCTCTGGACTCGGCTCTCTGTGTAAAACAGCTGCCACCGCCCCCCGCCCCGCCAACCTGGTTCTCTGCTCCCAACTCGTGGTGTCGCCTCTGGTTTTAGCTCACACACGCCCCATCGCTTGCGTGGGGATTCTGGCACGCCTCCCTGCTTCTGGGCCCCGGGTGCCTAGGACAGGGCTGGGCACCCAGCAGGAGCTCCATAAATGCTGGCCGAGTAGAGCTAGTCCCCAGGGCTCATGCCAGACTCCAGGAGACGGCCCAGGTCCCTGTGCCCTGTGGGGCAGCGGCCGGCTCCCCAGGCAAACATCGGCCTCCTCTGGTCCGTCCTCCGGTCTGGAGGGGAAGAATGCCCCCCCGTCCCCCCAACCCCTGCGACCCCCGGGGCCTTCCCTGAGCCAGAGCCACCCGGGGTTTGCCCCGAGGCCTACGCGCTGAGCCCAGTGACCGCCCGAAACGGAGAAAGCACCATCCCCGGAGGGTCCAGTGGTGCTGTGGGGGCGGGGGGGGTCCCAGCACACCTGGCCTGCCCCCCCCGCCCCCCCCCCGCCCTGCCTGCGGCGCACCGGCTCACCTGGTGAAGCGGACTTTGCAGATGTTACACTCATAGGGCTTCTCTCCAGTGTGGGTCCGGATGTGCCGCGGCAGCTTGCCGGCGCCCTGGATGACCTTCTCACAGATGGGACACTTCTGGAAGGCCTTGGCCCGGATTTTCTTCTCCACCTTCTGCGACCAGGCTGGGTAAACATCCCCGTCGTGGGCGCCACTGAAGTACTTCAGGTAGTAGTCCACGACGCCCTTGTCGTCCGCCCGCGACTCGTCGTCGCTGTCCCCTCCGGCCGCCGCCCCCGCCCGGCCCACCGATGACATCATCTGCTGCAGCAGCGTGCTGGCCGCCAGCCCGTCCGCGTCGGGCCCGTCCCCGTCCCCGTCCTCGGCCGCACCCGACAGGAAGCCCGGAGAGTCGCCGGGCTCGGGGGCCGCCTCCGACAGCGAGGCCGCTTCCTCCTCCCCGCCCCGGCCGTAGTGGCCGTTCTGCGTGGCAGCGGCCGGCGGGGCCACGGGCGCCGGGAAGAGGCCCCCAGCAGGGCCGTCCTCGTCCCGCTCCGGCCACAGGGCCGGGTTGCTGTCGCCCTCGTCCGCATCCCCGGCCGATGGCCGGTCGGCCGGCGGTCCCGGCCCGTAGAAGTCCAAGCCGTTGCAGTCGCCGGCGGCCACGGCGGCCACGGCCGCAGCCACAGCCTCCTTGGTGGCGTCCAGGTCATCGTCGGACGTGCCGAAGGCGGACCAGGGGAAGGCGGCGGCGGCGGGGGGAGGCAGGCTGTTCATGGGGTTGCTCTGGAAGAACTCGAGGTACTCCTTGGCCCGGAGGAGGTTCCGCTGGTCGGTCTGATCCACAAGGTCCAGCTGCCCGGCGTCGGCGCCCGCGTCGGCCGCCAGGATCTGCCGGTCGAGGAGGTCGGCGCACACGTGGCTCACGGCGGGGATCTCCAGCAGGCGGGCGGCACTGAGGATGTCGCCCACGTTGGCTGTGCTGACGGTGAGCGTGGCCGTGTAGGCGAAGTCCATGAGCGCCGTGAGCGCCTCCGCGCTGACGAAGTCGATCTCGTATACGTTCTGCTGGTCCACCACGGCGCCCGACGTGAAGAGCTTCTTGAAGTACTGGCTGCAGGCCGCCAGCACGGAGCGGTGCGTGGGGAACTCGCGGCCCTCCACCAGGATCACCACGTCGCAGAGCAGGCCCTGCGTCCGCTGCTCGTTCAGCCCGCTCAGGATATCGCTGCTGTGGTCAGGGAACGGGATCCCGATGGGGCCGTCCACACCGCCGGCCATCTTCCGCGCCGAGACCTGCAGTGCCGGGGGAGGGAGTGGCGCTTGCGAGGGTGCAGGGTGGCGGGCACACCGCCCGGGGCCCCTCGGAGAGCAGTGCCCCCGCACTCTGCCCCCAGCCTCAGTTTCCCAGCTGCGCGCCAGGGCAGACGGATGTACAGTGCCGCCTGATCAACGGGAGGCTGGGTAGGCAAAACCCACGCTGGGGGCCCGAGAGACAGACCCGGACGCCCTCCCCTCCACCAGAGGGCCCGGCCAAGGGATGACTGGAAGAGGTACGGGAGCACACAGCAGGCGCTCAATAAATGTCTCACAGGCCTTGCTCCCCCATGGAACCGGAGCGCTGGCTTCTGCCCGCACCCCGTCTAGGAGGCAGTGATACAAGGAACCCACTGTGCTTTCATGCCCAGGCCCCTGGCAGTCCCTGCGGGCGGCACCGTCTAGGCTGTGGTGAGAACGGCTGTGGAGGTGAGAATGCGGGGCTCCGGGAACCACACCCACGGCCCCACGTACCGACTCAAACCTAGGATGTGTGACCTGAGGGACAGACTGGTCGTCCATCCCTGCCTGGCCCCTTGGCCTCCCTGACCCTCACTCCTGCCTCCCAATGAGGCCCAGTTCTCGCATGGGGGGGGGGGGCGCGCTCCGAGTCAGGAGGAAAGGGCAAGGCCAAGACCCAGGGAGCGGGCTGTGGGCGTGCCCTGGAGGGGCGGAGACAGTGGCCACACAACAAGCCACTTCCCGCCCCACCGAGCCCCCAGGACCCAGTTGGGCCCTGGAAGCAGTGATGGGGGAAGCTGCCTGACACTCCCCCCCTGCCCCCCCAGACGTAGCCCTTGGAAGCAGAGCAGGGGCCCCCTGTCCAACTCATGACCACCCAACTCCCCCCCAGTTCTGGGCCACCCTGTTTGGCCCGGGGCCTCAGTCTCCCCATCTGTCCCGTGGACAGAGGCCTTTGGAAGACTTGTGGCCGTAGCAGTGGGGGGACACTGTGTCTGTCCTGCCCCTCTCCCCCACTCCCTTTTTCCGCCTTCCCCTGGGCTGTGACTCATCCACCCACTCGGGCGTTTGTGCAACCCTCTGGCTCCCGTCCCCACCCCTCCACCCTCTCTGGGGAGCCCCCAGCTGCCCCAAGCCACCCAACACAACCCACATTCCTTTGGTTGCCCAGCTCTCAGGACAGAGCCCCCCGGACGTCTCCCGGGAGAGGGGCAGGGCGGTGCCTTCCATGGCCTCCTAAGGACCTCGGGACCCCTCTGGCCCCCTAGCCCCACTCAGCTGGAACCCTCCCCCCCCCCCGAGTGGACCACCCTGGCAAGGGATCCCAGGGTTGGCCTGACCCAACCCAAGGGCCTGCCGGGACTGTCCCGACCCAGGGCCGCGCTGGAGCAGGGTCCAGGCCCCTGGGCTGACACAGACGCCTTTGTGTGGCCGCTCAGGCAGGCACTACACTTCCCAGGACGCCTCTCTCTGTGGCCCGCCCTCTTTCCCGCTGACCACACCAGCTGCTCCGCTCCCCCTCGGCTCTGCCGGCCATGCTGGGTGGGGGGAGGCTCCGATGTGTATGCTGGGGCAGGAGATGGAGGGGGCAGGCCCGACCCCGTCTGAGGCTCAGCCACGGGATGCCTCAGAGGAGCCCTATGGCAGCCGCCACCCCCTGCCACCATCTGCCGTCTGGCCCCAGGCCCCAGGGAGCAAGTGGGCAGATGGGCTCCAGATCAGACTGGCTTCGGCCCTCCTCACCCCCTCCTGATCCAGGCCACCAGCGCCTCAAGATGGCCACCCTGGCCCTGCGTGCCATCGCCCCCCACCCCCCGCCAGGTGCTTCAAGGTTGGGACCTGAAATGGTTCAGAGGGTTCACCAGCACCCTCCCCCCGCCCCCACCATGGCTGCTCCACCCCTGCCCTCACTGTGTAGATGTCCCCCTGGCTGGGGGAGCACGCTGGGGCCCCAGACCTGGCGCGGGGACAGGGGCCAAGCCCACAGGGCTCCACGCCTCCGTCCTCTCCAGCTAGCGCCTCAATTTCCCCCACGTAATCCCAGGAGACCCCCCCCCCCGCCCCAGCCCAGCAAGCACTGCTGCCTCATCCCTCACCGTGGAAACCAAACTGGGTCTGCAGACACCTGGCCCCGCCCTCCCTCCAGGACCACAAGCCACCTGCCAGCGGCACCTCAGGTCAAGGCCCCACCTCCCAGGGCCCCTCCCTCTAAGAGGGCAGCAGAAGACCCTGTGAGGGTCAGGCGGTGCCCCGGCAGTAAGAGGCACCTGTTTGCTGAACACCCAGGGTCAGGTGGTGTCCCGGCAGTAAAAGGTGCCTGTTTGCCGAACACCCACTGTGCGCCAGCCGCCACATCTTCTCACCAGTGTGGCTTCCTGCACTCTAAGAGCCCCGGCTGGCACCTGACACCTAGTAGGTGCCCCCACATGAGGCCGTTTCCTCAGTACTAATGACCCAATGAAGCTTCTCTCCTCCAGGAAGCCCCACCCCCACGCAGGCCAGGTCCCCACCCTCAACGGCCAGGGTCCCTGGAGCTCAGGCCCACACCCACCCAGCCCATCTTTCATCAGAGCCCCACCCCCACCTCCATGCGATTTCCGGGGTGCTCAGTGCTGACTTGGCGGCGGCGGCCGAGGGGCAGGCCTCAGCAGGCTCCTCCCGGAGCAGAGGTGGAGCACCCTCTCCCTCTGTGCTCCCCCCCGCCCCCCACCCCCGCCCCCAGCGCACAGTAGGGGCGCAGCACACCGGATGAACCAAAGACCACAGAGCTATGCGCTGGAGTGAGCCCACACCCAGCCCCGCCCACCTAGCTGGCACGCTCCCCGCTCCCACCTCTGAGCTAACCCAGGGTCATCTGCTGCGCTTTTCCCAAGGCGGCAGAACGCAGGCCTGTTGAGCCGTCCCAGGGCCTCCTGCGCACCCTGGGCGACTCGGGAACTAACTGGGTACCTTTATTTCATCCTTCCCGCTGGAAGCCCTGGGCTTTACAGACAAGGAGAGACTCAGAGAGGTGGGGAGGCCTGGGCAAGGGCACACAGCCGACCACAGGTCAGGCCACGGTGAGGTCGGGAGTGCCTTCACCTGGTCCCAGGAGCAAGCGGGTATCACCCTGGAAGGACCCTGGGATTGTGGGAAGAGCATCCTGAGCATGGGGACCAGTAGAGGCAAAGGCCCGGTGGTGGGCACCCGGAAAAGGGACGGAGGAGGAGGCTGCATTTACCAAGCTTCCCAAGGTCAGGTGCAAGGTGAGGGTTGGGGCGGGCCTCCTCCTCCTCCCCCCATAGTCTTCAGGAAAGAGAGGGGGCGGCCAGCAGGGGGTGGGCAGGTAACTGCCACCTGCTGTCTTCCAGAAGGGGGGGGGCAGGGGACAGCTTAATGAGGGGTTTAGGCCTCTCTACCCACCCCTCCACAGAGTAGGGCAGGAAACCAAAGAAGGGACCTCTAACACCCACTATGTACCATGCATGACGGTCTGGGCCCAAATCCCAGCTCCTCCACTTCCAAGCTGTAGGACACTGGACAAGAGGCAGAACCCCTCTGTGCCTCAGTTTCCTCAGAGGTCACAAGGGCCAAGGGGACTGGGGCTGCTCCAGGCCCAGGGTCCCACCCCCCACCTATTCAGCAAACTGCCTGAGGACCTACTGTGTACCACTGCCAGTCCCCAAAGGCCCAGTGAGGCTGTTCACTGACCAGCTTCCTTGCAGAGGGGGGGCTCCGAACTTAACCTCTGAACATTACTCCAGGAGCTCAGCCCCCTCCCCACCTACTGCCTGTGGTGGTAGGCCCCAGGAGCATGTGGTGAGGCCCCAGGAGGAAGCCAGGGGGGAGGAGCCCTCACCTGGAGGGGAAAACCAGGCCCAGAGAGGGTGGGTGGCCAGCCCAAGGTCACACAGCAAGTCTGGTGCCCAGGTGCGGTCGCCAGGCCCACACCCAGCCGCCCCCGCCCCCTCCCAGGCCAGCAGCCTGTGTTGCGAGGTTGGTCCCAACGGGTAACCCCGCCCTGACCTGGTGCCAATCCCTGCCTGGCCCGGTCCCCGGCTTGGGGTTTAATGGGACAGGAATGCAGCGTCCCGATTAGGGAGTGGGGGGCACCAATGGCTCAGGGTGGCTGCCGGGCTGCCAGCCCGCCTGTCCTCACAGGCCTCGCGCCAGGCCAGACACCAGCAAACAAGCCCTCGGCCATTTTATGTGTCCATTTATTGCCCTAAATGGGGAGGGGCTTCCTGCCCAGGCCTTAAAGGGCCAGAGGCAGGAAGGCTGCGGGCCAGTGGGAAGTGGGGGGGGGGCAATGAAGAGGTCATGGGGTTCCCCATCTGACCCCCCAACTCATGGGTGGGGGTGAGGCTCACCCTATTCCCACGCTCTCGAGGGCTGTCACGGGTCAGGAAGTAACAGGCCTGACACCAGTACCGGGTTCCAAGAGGAAGCCCTGGGAAGACAGAGCCACTCGTGGCTCTGGAGTTAGAAGGAATGAGCTGACCATCACCTGGGGGTAAGTAAAGCCAGGCTTCTCAGAATCCCTTCACCATCTAACCCACCCTCGCTCAGGCTGTACCTGCTGGTTCAAAATGCCCAGAAGGGGGCTGGCTGGCCTCTGGGACCCATCCTGTCTCCAAACCTCTCCCTCCCTCCCCCGAGGCCTGACTGCTCCCAGGAGCTGCCTGCACCCGGCCCCCACCCCGGGCAGGTGGAGGGCTAAGCCCGGCCCGCTGGGGCCTAGTGTCCTGTGCCCACAAACCCGCCAGCACCCCCCCACCCCCCTGGTCAAACACATCCTGACGGGAGGTGGGACGGGACTGGTTCTCCAGTTCAACCAGAAAGGCGTGGGTGGGGACACTTCCACCGAGTGGCCGTTCACAGCCTGCTGGGGGGACAGATGGAGGGGCCGGTCCTCTGGCCAGGCTCCTCGCGAGCGCCAGATTCTCCGCAGGGCGCCTTCCGCGCTTTGGGGCGCCGCGCTCAGGACTTGGGCCCCGAGGGCAGGGGCTGCCCGACCCGGGCCGACCTCGATCTGCACGTGGGTCCTCACGGGTCTCCAATCACTGCCCCATTTACATGCAGGTCAGGAAACTGAGGCTCAGGGAGGGGGAAGTGACTTGCCCAGGGTCACACAGTGGAGCCCACTGGCTCTGTACCGCCTGCCTGGTCCTTTGAAGGCTCCTTCCCTCCTCCTCCACACTGCCCTCGGGTACCCGCAAGGGACTGTGTCCCCCTACCCTGGGGGCCCTGGGGCTGAGGACAGCTTATTCCCACGCCCCCTCAGAGCTGCCTCTGCCTCAGAAACTGGAGAGGTTTACCTGAGGTCACACAGGGAGCCTGGGGCACGACCAGAGTCCCGCTGACATCTGTGAACTCAGGGGCCCTGACCCCTGGTCACCAGAATAGGGACCCAGGACTCTCCCAGGCCCTGACACCGCTCGACAGTCACCCAGCAAACTCCTGGGGAGTCATGGGCTAAACCCTCAGGACCACAGATCTGGGCTGATGGCAGAGACGGAGGCTGGCAGAGGGGCGGTGACCTCCCCAAGGAGACCTCAGGCGGAGGTGAGGGCTGGGCTGGGGCTGGACGGCACCGGCCCCCACCCAAGCCTGTTCCTCTGGTCCCCGCTGCCCAGGGCTGTTGCAAGGCAGTTTATGGTCCATCAGGTGCCTGGAGCACAAGGTGACAGGTGGGGGGCTCTGCGTGTCTCAAGTGGCCGGGCTGGCGACACACTCCGGCAGAATCCCCGCGGAGCCCTGAGCTGACCCAGGTGCTCGCTCCATGAGGGAGGGAAGGAGAGGCCACAGGCACCACCCGGGGAGAACCCTACACTCCCGATTTACAACAGGGAGGCGCCGCGGCTCCAAAAGGCCGAGGGGCTTGTCCAAGGTCACGCAGCAGCTAGCGGGTCGTTCGCAACCCCAGACCTCGCGCCAGCTCTGCTGCAGAGGGGCGGCTGGCCCTGAGACTCTTCGAGAGGTGACCTCAGTCATCTTGGGTATGATGGGTCATAAAACCCAGAGCCCTGCCCGTCTCCAGGGGCCAAGGTGCCAAGGTGCAGGACTGTGGCTCAGAGCGGGCAGGGAAGGCCTTAGCGAGCCATAAAAGTGCCTGCCACAGAAGGCTGGGAGGTGAGAGGACAAGGGGCTCGCGCTGTGTGACCTTGGGCACCTTGCTGGCCCTCTCTGAGCCTCGCTGTCCTTTCTGGACAAAGGGTTTCATAAGCCCCAGGAAATCTCTATTTGGCCTCAACCCCCAGACCCCCTGGAAGACAAGGGGGTGGGCGCCCCTCAGCCGCGAGGAAGGAAGGCTTGGGCCTCAACTGGAGCCCGGAGGCGGGACCCCCAGGGTCAGACCCAGCTCCAGCTACGTGACCTTGGGCTGCTCTCTGCTTCCCCCTGGACCTCAGTCTCCCCTGCCCAACACGGCACCTGCTCCGAGGATGGCCATAAGCCACCCCCACCCCCACCCCCACCCCGGGTCCCCACACGCGTGTCTAGCCTCCCCTCCCAGCCTTGGTTTCCTCCTGTGGCAAAGGGGACTGCCACCAGCCTGACCCAGCTATAGGTCAGAGGGCCCCAAGGAAGAGAAAGGAAGGGAAGAAGCAAACGCGAGTACTTGCGACGGCCTCAGGAACCTTCCCCTCTGGAGGGGACGGGGCTCTGCCAGGCCTCAGTCTCCCACACAGAGAAAAGGGCACATCAGCTCCCTGCGGCCACCCCTGCTGCTGCTCCGAGGGCCTGCGAGGAGAGTTTCTCGTGGCTCCCGGCCCGGCTGGGCCAGGGTGCTGACTGGCCACCACGCAGCCAATCAGAACTGAATAATAAACACCCCCCCAAAGTGACCCACGAATTAAAATTTCAGTGTCCCCGTTGGCTCCTCTTTCCCTCATTAGGCATGCGGATCCCAGGCCTCCGCTCTTCCAGTCACCGGCTTCTGCCCCCCCTTCTCCCCTAGGCTCCGTCTCCACAGCGATGGCTGGCGGTAAACAGAGCCCCGAGCCCAGCCGACAAGTGCCAGGCCCCGTGCACTCTAGGGGCCCCACTGGGGAGTGGCCCCCAGGGGAAAATGCCCCCAGCACGGAGCCCAGCCCGGACTCCCCGGACCTCTCCCAAGACCAGCTCTGCCAATAGGAAGTGATCGGCCGGTCCTGCGGAGGCCCCCCCAGTGTGGGAGCGGCACACTCAGGGTTACGCCCTGGCCGTGTTGTGGTGGGGGGGGTCTGACACGGCATCCCGGATGCCCTCTCCAGCCGGCCCTGCTCCCGGAGGCAGCTGGCAGTGACGGGGGGTAGTAAACCGAGCCTGCCACCCATGGGTGAACCAGGTGGGCACTCCCGGGGAAGGGGCACTAGCACTTCTCTCACTTCCGCCGCCTGGCTGGGGGTTGGGGGGGAGGAGTTGTCTGCCTTCCCCTACCGCTCACTCTGCTGGCTGCATTCCCCAAACATTTAGTGGGCGCCCACTGGGTGCCCCAGCCCGGCTGGACAGCAGTCTCTTGCTGCGGTCCACCAGGCACCCCAGCCAGCCAGCCAGCACGGGCAGTGCCACCCAGAACCCGCAAAGGCCTGTGCCCGGGAGGTGGGGGGGGTGCACTGGCCCCGGCGCTCAGCTCAGGCCCCTGCCTGGTTCCCAGGCCCCGGGCTGGGGGAGGGGGCCTGGTTCCCAAGCCAGGGAGGGAGGAAGGGCGAGGGAGGGGGCCGGATCCCACCAGCTCACCCCCTCCTCTGCCTAGGCTCAGGGTTCGCACGTGGTGGTGGCGTCAAGGGGAAGGAGGGGGGTCTGGGCCAGAGGAGACGGGGTCACGCGCTTTGGGGGCGCGGACGGGAGGAGAGGGGTGCTCTCCACCCCCTCCCCGGGGGCCGGAGCCGCGCGGCCGCGCGGGCGGGGCAAGGGGCCAGGCCTGTCCCCCCACCCAAGGCTGAGTCAGGCCCGGGCGGGGGCAGGAAGCGGCCCCCTCCCCCGCCCCGGCCGCAGCGCGCGGCCCCCGCCCCGGCCCGCGGGCCCCCGCCGCGCCGCCCGCGTGGGGGGCTCCTACCTCCTTCCCGGGGCAGCGGCGAGGGGGCCCGGCCCCGGCGGCGGCGGTGGCGGCGGCTGCGGCTGGGCTGGCTCCCTCCGAGGGGCCGGGAGGCGGCAGTGAGCCTGGCCCCGCGCCACCCCCCGCCGCCGGCGGCCAATCCCCACCCGGGCTGGGGGGAGGGCGATGCAAATTACCCCGGATCTGGGTCCGCCCGCCCGCCTCCCCCACGCCCGGGCCGGGCCTGCACTAGGCCGCGCATCCCCGGGCTCGCTTGCGCCGCGCGGCCGCTCGGGCCGCCGCCCTCCCCGGGGAGCGCCGGGTGGGTGACCCCCCCCCGTACCGGGGCGGGGGGCCGAGAGGAGGGGGGCTGGGGACGGTTACACAACCAGGCGGGGAGGGGCCCCGGGGCGGGGAGGGGGCCGGCCCGCGGGCCGCGCAGCCGGAAGCCGGGGACCGCCACCGGCCCCCGGCGAGGGGAGCCCGGCTTCAGGCCCCGCCTCCGGGCCGGCTCGGCCCGCCCCCGCGCCGCGCCGCGCGATCGGTCCGCGCCCATTGGTTCGCCGGCCCGCCGCTCACCGCCCCTCCTCCGCACCGCCCCTACCCGCGGACCGCGGCGGGCAGCCGGCGCGAGGCACCCTGGGACTTGTAGTCCGAACCGCCTGCCACCTGCCAGCCGCAAGCATGGGGGGACTACGATGTCCAGAAGCCCCCGCGGCCGCGCCCGCCCCCCGGGACACTCCACCCCTTCCCTCTCCTTTGCAAAGCCCCCCTCCCTGTTTTTTCAGCCCCCTCCCCCCCATCCCCCATGGAGCTCAATCCTGACCAACTCCAACGTATGCACGCAGTACCGAATAGGCCCCCGGGGGGCGAAAGCACCCCCAGTACCTAGCTGCAAACTTAGCACGCGTCGCGCCCCCCTATCTCCCCACGCCGGTTCCCCCCCACCCTCAATGCGGCCCCGCTTCCCCTCCCCCGCTCCCCGCGCGTCTGGGATCCCCGAAAAGCCATGCACTGGTTGGCGGGGGGGGGGGGGGCGGCTGGGGCATAAGCCCATGCACTTCGCCCCCAATCCCCCTTCCCGGGCGGCGCCCCCTCCCCGCGGTCGGGATCCAGGGAGCTTCCAGCCTCCGGGCAGCTGCCAACCACCCCCTCCTCTGAAACTTGCGGAACGTCCGCGGCTTCCCGGATCTCCCCTTCCCGAGAGGGCAGAGGTGGGCACAGCGCCCCCGGCCCGTCCCCGCCCTGCACCCCGTGCTGGGGGCCGCGCCGGGCACTGACTTACCTCGCGCGGCCGGGCCGGGGCCGGGCCGGGCCGGGGCGCGAGGGGCCGGGGCCCGGAGTTGGGACTGGGCTCCTCGGCCGCTCGCCTCCGGGGTCCGCGTCTCTCGCTCTCCGCCTCTCGCGCTCTCCACTCGTCGCTCCCTCGCTCCGGCGGCAGCGGCGGCGTCACTGCCCCTACAGTAACTGTACAGTACAGCCAAAGCCCCGTATGATGCTCGCGACTCCCTTCCTGGTTTCTCCGAGGGCAAGAGGGGTCCTCCCTTGTCTTAAAGGTGCCGCAGCCGCCGGCCCCCCCCCCACGCCCAGCCCGCCCCCCCCACCCCGGCCTCGGAGGCCAGAACAGGCTCGGCAGGTCCCCTCTTGCCACGTCTCTGCCCTCCCGTGGGGCTTCGCCCGCTGCGCCGGGGAGACCGGGCTGTTATTAGGTTTTGTCAAGTTGGTGGGGGGGGTCCAACCCGCCCCCGGCGCGCCCCCCCTCCTCTGACCTCTCCGCCCCGCTGCGCGGCGCCGTGCCAGCTTGCCAGCTTATCTGGCCCCAGAGCTCCCCGGGGCGCGGGGGGAGCGGGCCCCTCGGGGTGGAGGGGGTGGGGGCCTCCAGATAAACAGGCCCCCAGCCTCTGCGCAGAGGCGGGTGCGGGGGGGCGCGGGCTTTGCCCCCGACGCCCGGGGCGTGGCAGGATGGCAGCGGGGGCGGGGAGGGCTGTGCGCACTGCGAGGACCGACGCGGGCGTGGGTCGCGGCGGCCCGGGCAGCTGGGGGTGGGTGGGGGGCGAGGGAATGGGGACCCTGGGCCCGGCGCCGGCCCACCCGGGGCCTCAGTTTGCCCAGCCGCAGAAGGGACCCGGGGGCGGATTTTCGGATGACGGCTTGGGTCCGCTGGGCTCCCGGGTCCCTAAATGAAACAGCCAACCTGCCTGCCCGCGATTATATAAAAGAGTCGCCTCCGCCCGCTGCGCCAGGGGCGTAGCGGGGGAAGGGGTTGGCGAGGGGCGGGCTGGGCGGTTGTTTTCCCGGCCTTCCGAGTTCCCCCACCCAACTACGGGCCGCTGGGCTGGACGGGGACCGGGCCCCGGACGTCTGGGTCCTGCGGGCCGCTCGCGCAAGGGTCTGCGTGGCTCCGGAGGGGCAGAGATGGGAGTGGGGAGGCGTTGGCTCAGCCCAACTTTTTTCCTTGTCCATTTCTCCCACTTCCTCCCCGGTCGTGGGAGAGGTCCGGCGGGGCACGGGGGAGGGGAGGAGGGGACGCGCGGTGAGAACAGCCTGACCCGGCCCGGCCGGCTGCCCGCTGCACATAGTAGGTGCCTGGGGAGGGCTGGCCGGCGCGATCAGCCGCGTGAGGGGCTCTGGGCCTCAGTTTCCCCTTCCTCCTTCCTTCGAACGGAGAGGGCTGGCACCTGCTTTATAGCTGCCTTTTACTGAGCGCTTCTCGAGTGGCTGGCTCTGTCCCGGGTCCTGTTTACCTCCACTCTAACATCCAATCGCGTTATAATCATTATTATTTACTGTTATTATCATTATTACCACCATTACTTGCCTTGCCATGTGTGAAGTGGACTCGGTCTGTCCTTCTCGGACTTCAAAGCCTCCCACCGCCCCTGGTACTTTATTGCCTCTTCATACAACATATTAAAGGCGCCTTTCAACTCCCAAACGGGTTGAATCGGCTTTTGTAATAATAATTTGGCTTCTAGGGGAAACCCGGGAGGCCCCCAGAGGGGAAGTGCCAGCCCCAGGACTGAAACCAGCCCCTGGTAGGTAGGAAGGGACTGAGGGAGGGGCCACGTGGGTCCCGGTGAGGGCGGCACCCAGGGACTTTGCTCTAACGACCCTGCCTGGGATATAAGCCCTTTTTCCTTCCTTAAACCACTCTGCCATCAGTCTTAGGATTACAGGGGCCAAGCAGACTGACAAGCTGCAGGTCTCGGGCTGAGCTTGGACTGCAGATAACTGGAGCTCGGGCCTTGCTGCTAAATGGCCTCACCCCCTTCACCCCAAGCTCCACCCACTGGGTGACTCAGTTTCCCTTCCTGCACCAGGCAGCTCCGAATATCCTGCACCGTTTCTCCACAGAGGATAAACTGCTCCAGAAGGGGCAGGGAATGCATATAGATGCCTATAGAAGATTGGCATTGAATCTAAACCTCATCACGCCCGGAGAAGCAGGTGTTATATAATTTCCATCTTATATAGGAGAAAACTGAGGCCGGGAGAGGGACAATGGGCAAGGACGTCAAATCCAGCACTCACCTGACTCTGGACCCTGCCAGAAAGGCCGGGGGTGGCTCCTTCAAGGATATGCCAGGATGGCATACCCCGCCCCCACCCGCCATGCTCACTCCTGTCCCTGCAGTGAAAACAGGGAAGGAGGCAAAGCTTTGTCCTGAGCTCCATTCCTCAGATCCTACTCCCTTCACCTCCTCCAACATACCCAAGTAGATACTATTTTTAGAGTTAATACAGTATAAAAGATTGAGTTACTGTGTGACCTTGGGCAGATTACTTAACCTCTCTGATCCTCAGTGTCCTTTAGAAAATAATGATTCTGACTTCTTACAGTGGTAACACGGGGGAGACAACGTGGTACAGGTAACATTCTTCAACAGCACAGTGTGGCAGAACTCCTCAATACACCATAATGTCATTCCGTCGCTGTCATTACTACTACCCCCTCCCCCCGTCCCTGGCCAGGGCAGCGCTGAAACCCACATTTCAAAGCTGAAAACTCCACACACACACTCAAAGCATGTTTTACTTGATCAGCAGGACACTCCTCCCCTCCCCCAGGATGCTTGGAGAAGGGTCCTTGGAGTGTGTCACCTGACCAGCTCCGTGTTAGCAATAGAGCGACACAAAAATTAACAAGTACCTGGCACTTGTCTCAAAACAAATTCATTCCACGCTAAGTAGTAATATCAGCTTTCCTTTTCTGACTTCTGCCTTTGCATGCAGGGTTCATCCCTCCGTGTAGCTGCAATTATCATCCCTGAGGTACAGAATGAAGGCGCGAGACCCAGAGAAGAAATTAAATAATTTCCAAAGACACATGGCGAGTCAATGGGTGGACTTGACTTCAGGTTCTGTTGACTAGGCTGCAAATTTGTATATTTTGAGCAGATAGTTCTTGTCACCATAAGCAGGGATTGCTTCTTTTTTTAATTTTTTTAACGTTTATTTATTTTTGAGACAGAGAGAGACAGACCATGAGCTGGGGAGGGGCAGAGAGAGGGAGACACAGAATCTGAAACAGGCTGCAGGCTCTGAGCTGGCTGCACAGAGCCCGATGCGGGGCTTGAACCCACCGATCGCAAGATCATGACCTGAGCCTAAGTCAGACGCTTAACTGACTGAGCCCCCCAGGCGCCCCAAGCAGGAATTGTTTCTGGGGTGAGGAAACAGGAGGGCGGGGGGCAGGGTCAGAGACCTGTTCACTGTGTTTGATTTTTTGAATTCTGGATCATGTGTATATTATTTTTGTAAGTACTCTCTATGCTCCGCGTGGGGCTCGAACTCAAAACCCCAAGATCAACAATCGCACGCTCTACTGACTGACCCGGCCAGGCGCCCCAAAGCATACATTATTTATCAAGAAACTTAAAGTATTTTTCAAGGAACATTCCTCAACTTTTGTGCTTCAGAGAACACCGTCAAGAAAGTGAAAGAAAAACCCACAGGAGGGGAGAGAATATTTGCACATCATAGATAAGGGTTGACTAGTCAGAATATATAAAGAAGTCTTAAACTCAACAATAAAAGCAGAGTGAGCAAATTGTTCTAAGTGGGCAAAGGATTTTAGTAGCCATTTCTCCAAAAAAGATATACAAATGGGCCGTAAAGTTCATGAAAAGTTGCCCAACATCATTAGTCATCAGGGAAATGCAAATCAAAACCACGATGAGACACCACCTCACCCACCCCTGCTGGGATGGGTAGCCTCAGAAAGACAGTAGCAAGTGTTGATGGGGTTGGGGAGAAGCCGGAACCCCCACCCCACCCCGACCGCCGGTGGGAATGCACAGTGGCGCAGCTGTGGTGTTTCTTCCAGAAATTAACAGAGCGAGTCTAGGTGTGTATCCAAGAGAAATGACAACATCTGGTCCACACAGCAACTTTGTGCACAAAAATCCACAACAGCGTTATTCGTAACAAGCCAAGACTAGACACAGTCCAAACGTCCATGGACTGACGCATACAGAAACACTTCGCGTCCGTCTATACACGCGCACCTCACTCGGTGCGTCCACCGCGCATGCGCCCGTCCACAGAGGGCCGTGTCCACTGCGCACGCGCACGGCCACGGATGAACGTGTCCACCGCGCACGCGCACGTCCCTCGGCCCGGAGCAGGAGCGAGGCGTCCACCTCCGCTGTCCCGCGGTTGGACCCTGAGCACACGACGCTCAGGGAGGGAACCAGACACGGGAGGCCACGCGGGGTGTGAGTCCACGTGCGTGAAACATCTAGAACAGGCTCATGGACGAACAGGAAGGGGCTCGTGGGGGCGGGGGGCTGGGGAGGGACAGTGACTGCTAAGGGGGATGGCGTTTCCTTTAGGGGTGATGAAAATGTTCTAAGATTAGATTGTGGTGATGATTGTACAGCTTTTGAATACACTGAAAACCACTGAATTATATAGTTTAAGGAGTGAATCTTTTGGTACATGGATGACATAAATTTTTAAAAAGCAAGGCAGAACCAATATTCACAGCAGCATTAGTCACGATACTAAAATGTAGAAACAACCAGAGCGCCTGGGCGGCTCAGTCAGTTAAGCATCTGACTTTGGCTCAGGTCATGATCTCCTGGTTTGTGAGTTCAAGCCCCGCTTCGGGCTCTGTGCTGACAGCCTGGAGCCTGCTTCGGATTCTGTGTCTCCCCCTCTCTGCCCCTCCCCTGCTCCTACTCTGTCTCTCAGAAATAAATAAACATTAAAAAAATTTTTTTTCAATGTGGAAACAACCAAAATGTCCATTGATAGGCAAATGGATTAACCAAGTGCGGTCCATCCACACGCTGGAATATTACTCGGCTTTAAAAAGGAAAGACGTCCTGCTACCTGCCACCGGGTGGACAGATCCAGAGGACACCATGTACAGTGACAGAGGCCAGACACAGAAGGACAGGTCTTGCATGACCCCAGTCCCTAGAGGCGTCCCATCCAGAGAGACAGAGAGTAGACGGTGGGAGCCGGGGGTGGGGCAGGGGACAGGGAGTCAGTGCTTCATGGGGACAGAGTCTCAGTGTAGGGAGCTGGAAAGTTCTGGAGCCCATGGTGGGGACGGCTGCACGACAGTGTGGGTGTGCTTGATGTCAGTGACACACGCAGGTAAAAATGGTTGAGATGGTAAATTTCATGCCATATATATTTTATCACAATAAAAAAGTAAAAAGTAAAAAAATTAATTGACCCGGAAGAAGATGCGAGGGTGGCTGTGCTCTGTCTCATTCCAAGCCTGGGGGACGTGCGTGGAGCCCAGTGCCATTAGTACAGAAGTGTGGTTATTTAGGAATGTAATTAAAATTTTTTCCTTCCAAAAAATTAAAATTGAAAAATAGAAAAGTGTCCCAAAACAGTATGATGGGGAGACGTTAGTGTTGTTTTGAGCACATAGCTGCCCTGCTCTATGCTCCATTGGTCACGCTGACGACTGTGTGAGAGCCCAACGCAGGCCACGGAGAGGCCAGCGGGGATCTGTGGGCATCTGGGGAACATAGATGGAGACCACAGTGGCAGAAGGAAGAACGAGTCTATTTTGTATTTTGAATGTGTTTATTTATTTTGAGAGAGAGAGAGCACAAGCAGAGGAGGGGCAGAGAGAAACAATCTCAAACAGGCTCCACGCCTTCAGCACAGAGCCTGATGTGGGCCTCGAACTCACAAACTGCAAGATCACGACCTGAGCTGAGATCAAGAGTTGGACGCTTAACCGACGGAGCCACCCAGACGCCACAGAATGGCGTCTGTTGTGAAGGTCAGGTGGAGAAGAGCTGTTGCTGGGTCAGATGTCGGGGGGCGGGGGGATGGCAGACAACCCAAAGGGCTTGCCAGGTTTCCTGGGGGTCAGGGACCACGATGATGGGCGGGTTTGGGGAAGACAGGTAGCGGCGAAGTTGAACAGGCAGTGGACGGTTGAATAAGGAGCATCAGGGAGAGGGTGGCCTCGGCTCGGGGGTTTGGACCTCCCACGTTCTAAGGCTGCGTGACCTCCCCCAAGGGAACGTGGACAGAGAGGGTGTCCCTGGGCTGGGGTATCCCAATGCTGGAGTCCGGCAAAGGGGGCTGAAAAGGAGGCCAGCGGGGTACCAGGGGAATTAGGACACTGTCAAGTCATGGACACCAGTTTCCAGCCAATGGGCCTAATCCCAGGGCTCAAGATACCGCCATGCAGAGCAGGACCCGGTAGAAATTTGCTTAAAGAATGAACATTTCTCTCTAAACATGAGGACAAGACAGACGCCAAGCACCAGGAGCCCTTGGGCTCTCCCCCGGAACAGGCCACACCAAGGGGGTCTTTATTGGCTTCTTAGATCAAATAATAGAAGCAGACAGGCAGACGGGGCGCCTGGGTGGCTTAGTTGGTTAAGCGTCCAACTTTCGCTTAGGTCATGATCTCGCGGTTCGTGGGTTCGAGCCCCGCGTCGGGCTCTGTGCTGACTGCCAGCTCAGAGCCTGGAGCCTGTTTCAGAGTCTGTGACTCCCTCTCTCTCTGACCCTCCCCTGCTCACGCTCTCTCTCTCTCTCCTAGAAATAAATAAAACATTAAAAAAAATTAAAAAAAAAAAAAAAAAAAAAGAAGCAGACAGGCAGAGGGTACCCTAATTTCAGCAAAGTCGTGAGCTGCATGGTACATGGGAGCATGGAAGAATTTCTCTAAGGCTCACTGATTAGCAAATAGATCATGGTAAACACGGCCTGTCCCCAGACCTGCCTGTGTGTGTGCACAAGTGTATGTATACACTTACGTTTATTGTCGATCTCAAATACATGTAAATAACGTAATTATTTTTATTTTTATTTTATTATTTTTTAAAAATGTTTTATTTATTTCTAGGAAAGAGAGAGAGAGAGAGAGACAGCGTGAGCAGGGGAGGGTCAGAGAGAGAGGGAGACACAGACTCTGAAACAGGCTCCAGGCTTCGAGCTGGCAGTCAGCACAGAGCCCGACGCGGGGCTCGAACCCACGAACCGCGAGATCATGACCTGAGCGAAAGTCGGACGCTTAACCGTCTAAGCCACCCGGGCACACCCGTAATTATTTTTAAAGACTTTTTTTTCTTTAATGATTATTTTTGAGAGAGAGAGAGAGCACGAACAGGGGAGGGGCAGTGAGAGAGGGGGAACAGAGGATCTGAAGCGGGCTCTGTGCTGACAGCAGAGAGCTCCATGTGGGACTTGAGCCCACAACCTGTGAGATTGTGATGCAAGCGAAGTCGGGTGCTTAACTGACTGAGCCACCCAGGTGTCCCTATTTATTAAAATTTTTTTTAATGTTTATTTATTTTTGAGAGAGAGCAGGGGAGGGGAAGAGAGAGGGGGAGACACAGAATCCGAAGCAGGCTCCAGGCTCTGTGGCTGACAGCGGGGAGCCCAAGACAGGGCTCGAACTAACGAGCTATGAGATCGCGACCTGAGCTGAAGTTGGACACTTAACTGACTGAGCCACCGGGCGCCCCTAAGATTATTATTATTTTTTTTTAATATTTTTTTTTTATTTTTATTTCTAGGAGAGAGAGACAGCGTGAACAGGGGAGGGTCAGAGAGAGAGAGAGAGACACAGACTGTGAAACAGGCTCCAGGCTCTGAGCTGGCAGGCAGCACAGAGCCCGACGCGGGGCTCGAACCCACAAACCGCGAGATCATGACCTAAGCGAAAGTCGGATGCTCAACCGACTAAGCCACCCAGGCGCCCCATATTTTTAAAAAGATTCCTGATCTCCTCCCTCCATTCAGAACCAGCAGGATAGCATTCTTCCAATGTATCTCTGACCCCTCCCCTTATAACGACCCTATAAAATACTAAGTTTTTATAGCAGAGAACCCCAGACTGGGTGGCACAGACTCGGAGGTATATACTCTCTCCGTTCTGGAGACCATATGTCCAAAGTCAAGGTGTCAGCGAGGCCCGGCTCCCTTCAGAGGCTCCAGGGAAGGATGTATTCCTGGCCTCTCTCCTCACTTCCAGGAACCTCAGGGGCTCCTTGGCTTGTAGACCGAAGGCCTTCTCCCTGGATCGCTTCACCCTGCCTCCCCCCTGTGCAAGGCTGCCTCCGTCTCCAAACGCCCCCTTCTTATACGGACAGCGATCGAATCGGAGTAGGGCCCCACCCTACTCCAGGGTGACCTCACGGTCACTTTACTAACGTCATCTTCTTTAATAACTGTATTTGCAAGAAGGTCACATTCTAGGGTCCTGGAGATTAGGACTTGACCATGATGTGTGTGTGCATGCATATAAACATATCGATCTACCTAGCTAGCTAGGTATCACCTGCCCCTCTTACCAGTGACCCCAGTAAAGATGCTGAGGTGCTGAAGGCTAGCTAATCAGCCATTTGGGAGACACGCAGGCATCGGCAGACAGGTAGGGAGGATCTGAAGTGGACCATAGAAAACACCCAAATAAACAGCACGTCTCCTGGGAGGGCCGTAAGGTCTGCTCACGTTCTCAAAAGCCCGCTGAGCAAATGGAGACAGACGTTCAGTCTGGGCAGATAAGAACGTTCTGGAGACGGCTGGTGGGCATGGTTACATCCTTGTGGGAGTATCTGACGCCACTGAACTGTACCCTTAAAATAGGTTAAAAATGTGGGGGCACCTGGGGGACTCCGTCGGTTGAATGTCTGACTTCAGCTCAGGTCATGATCTCATGATTCGTGGGGCTCAGACCCACGTCACGCTCCGTGCTGACAGCTCAGAACCTGGGGGGAGGGGCGCGGAGGTTGGTGCCGCTGAGCTGTGCACTTTACGATGTTTAAGATGGTGACTTAGGTAGATTTTACACAATTAAAATATCAGAGTTCTGCTCTCTCTCTCTCTTTTTCTATTAAGACTGAAATAAAGGAAAGCAAACTATCTCAGGGTCCAGCTCCACAGATTCCGGCCTTTTCTGTCTGGCCAGTAAGGATGTTAGAAAGAAAAGGGCACAAATTGCTTCCTCTGACCACAGGGACGAGGGGCCCGGGCTCTGGCGCCAGACTTCAAGTGTCCTGCTGGGGCCACGGCGCTGATGCTGTGGGCAGGGGCTCTGCGTGTCAGAGGTGCCCGTGGACCCGGGATCGTGTGCGGGCACCAGGGAGGCTGGGCCGCTCCACTCCCCTCCTCTGGTAGCTGGTAAAGCTGCCTTCCACTCAGGCTCCTCCCAGATCTCCGGGCTCCGCCCAGCTGTGCTCCCAGGCAGAGCTAACATTTAACCAGCACGCCTAGGGGTGGCCAAACCAGGTGTGCAAGTACTGGGAACACTTCAGTACTCGTTGGCAAATCGCCGCGGCATGGAGCCCTCAACTGCCCCCGGCGCCCAGAGGCCTTCCCCAGCACCAGCACAGCCCCGGAACCTCGCAGGAGAAATATTTTCAGAGCTGCAGGCCTGCAGCCTCTGAATCCTCAGTGGCAGAGGAGATACCTGGCGCGTTTGTACCTGGGGGCGGGGAGAAGGGGGGCAGTGCACCTCACTTAGGCTGTTTAGACTCAGTCCAGGAGGTAGAGGAAGGCGAGTTATTCTGGCCCTACTCCACCTCGCAGCTCAGTGTTCCTATCTGTGCAGTGGGCCCTTGCAGCCTGCTGCTGCCAGTTTGCACCTAGCTCTGGGCCCTCTCCACCTGCGTACTGGCCTCCTGGGTGCCCCCTCACTCCCAGGATGGATGAGCACCCCCCCCCCCCCCGGGGTCTCTCAGAACCTCGGCAGAGCTCTCCAGTGCTCGGTGTGGCCAGCCCGCCTGCCCTTGGGGCCTGGCTCATGGCTCTGTCTCTGCCTCCCTCTCTACCTGGCCTGGCCCCACGCAGTAAGAATTTGCTTAGGGCGGTGGGTCACGTGAGAGAGGCTGCTACCCTCTCCACCTACCCCCACCCCACTCCCTTCCGCCCAGGGGACATCGGTGGTTGTGACACCACAGGGGTGGCTCCTGGCATCCAGGGCTGGGGCAGGGATGCTGCTAAGCCGCCTCATAAGTGCTCAGGACAGCCCCCCACCCCAGAGAATGACGCGGCCCCAAATAGCCACAGTGCCGATGGGGAGAAGCTCTGGCCTGGGTCTCACTTCCGTCCTGCCTGCTGGCCTCTCCCTGTCTGGGCTCTGCAGGAGGGAACAACGCTGCCCCCTGGCTCTAGGCGGCCCGGGACTCGAGCTGCTGGCTGTGGCCTGCCCCCACCGCCCCGGGCAGCGGGAGGCTCTGGGGGCCTCTGCTCTGTCTGTGCAAAGGGCCTGAAGGCGGGTAGTAACAGAAGCCTCAGAGAGGGGTCCCGTGGGTCAGCTTCACCTCTGTGACCCCAAAGGGACAAGGCAGGTCCTGGCCATGTCCCCCCCACCCCCACCCCCTGGGAGGCAGAGAGCAGAGGAGACCAGGCCTCAGGCGTGGGGGCGGGCGGGAGAACGAGGCTGCCTTTCTGGTCCGAGTTCTTTCTTTTTTTAAAATCAGCGCAGTTGAACGCCAGGCTCCGCCCTCCATCCGGCGCCTGCCACGTGGGCCACCCAGCAGCCGCCCCTCTCCCCCGGCCCTCCTGGGGCTGGCCCGCCAGGCTGAGGCTTCGGTTTCACTTTGGTGTCACGGGTTTCACTTTCGGGCAGAGCCAGAGCGGCGGAAGGAGGGATGGAGAGAGCACGGGGCGGCGGTCAGGTACAGGGTCCCACCGGCACGCCACCTGCGGCCCCTCCTCCCGCCTGGGGATTCTTGCAGTCAAGGTCAAGGGGTCAAGGTCAAGTTCTCCACGTGCCCTCGGGCGGGGCAGGCAACCTCCTCCCTCTGGGCTCCAGCCCCAATGGCCCACCGCCTTGGAGGGAGGCCAAGAGTCACGTCCACCAGAGAACGCCAAGGACGGCCCCGCCATGTCCCCAGTGGGAGCGGGTGGGGCGCGGTGCTAGGCAGAACAGGATGTCATGTCAGCTGACGTCACCCGGCAAGGGACCCTTGGCCCAGAAACCACTAGGAAGGAGGCTCCATGTGGTCTGAGTCTGAGCCTGGGTGTGTGTGCTGGTGGCGGAGGCCAGTGTCCCCGAGGCCACCTGCCGCGGCATCTGTCTGGTAGACTCAGGCTGGTGGCCCAGCTGCTCTGCTTGCTTTACGGCACACCTGCCTGTCTCTGGGACTCAGTGTTTTCATCTGTGGAGTGGGCGTGGCCTTGTTCCTCAGCCCCTCCCGCCCCACCCAGGACCCTGCTGCCCTTTTGTGGAGTCCGGGTGGGGGTGGGGGGTCCACGGCCCGGAACAGAGCCACTGCCTTCCCAGCCAGGGCAGGAACCGGCCCGTCACCTTGCTCCCCAGCTCAGGGCCCAGGGCCTCGTAGAGGACTCGCCAGACAGGACCGGGGAGTCACCTGAGGCACAGGCAAGATAGAGAATGTGTGTACCAATGGGAGAGGGTGGTTTGTTTTTTTAATAACAGCTTTATTGAGATATAATTCACATACTGTACAGTTCACCCACTTCAAGTGTACAATCCACTGGTTGTTAGTACGTTCACACATTCACAGAGCTGTGCACCCGCCACCACTAATTCTGGAACATTCCATCACTCCCAAAGCACCTCCACCCCCTGCCAACCCCCCGCACCCGCAAGCCCCCCCCTCTGTGGATGAGCCTGTTCTGGACATTTCACGCACACAGACTCACACCCCGTGTGGCCTCCCGTGTCTGGTTCCCTCCCTGAGCATCATGTGTTTGGGGTCCGGCAATGAGGTGGCGGGTGTGGGCACCTCACTCCCGCTCGTGGGCAAGGGACGTGCGCGTGCGCAGTGGACATGCTGTGTGCCTTTGTTTTTCAGCTGACGGATGTCTGGACAGTTTTCCACTCCGGCTGCTGTAAATCATGCAGCTGTGAATGAAGACAGGTGTTAAGGTGACCAAAACAAGTGTCGACTAGAGTGTGTCCACCCACAGTAAGTGATGTCCGGGGACCCTGCGTGTTGTGGGGTGAGGAGCGCCCAGCGGAGGTGCCCTGGCACCCAGGCTCTCCAGGTCTCTGCTGGGCTCCGGTGAACCCCTTTCCCGCCCCCTTGGTTGGCCCAACTATGAACCCGGAAGGTGCCCACTGAGGACCGCAGAGGGGCTCCCAGGACCTCAGGGGCTGGCGGACACAGGGCAGGGGCCAGGCCGGCTGGGGACACCGGCCTGGAAAGCAGTCCCTTCCCTTTCAGGCAGAGGGTTGCAGGGCTGAGGTGGGCTGGGCAGACCAAAGGGAGAAGTGGGACGGGAGGGGAGGGGAGGGGAGGGGAGGGGAGGGGAGGGGAGGGGAGGGGAGGGGAGAGGCCTGGAGAGGAAGGAGGGTGACAGAGGGGTTTCTTCCTCCCACACTGGGCTGGTGCCCCCCTGCACCCTCCCCTTGGGCAGGGCGTCCCCAGGCAGGGAAGGGGAAGGAGGAGTCACAGTCACAGGGTCTGACTCCCGTCACCCAGGAGCCACTGCTACTCTTTTCGTGTTATTTTTTTTTGATGTTTATTTATTTTTGTTTCAGAATTTTTTTAACGTTTATTTTTGACAGAGAGAGTCAGAGCGCAAGCGGGGGAGGGGCAGAGAGAGAGGGAGACGCAGAATCCGAAGCAGCTCCAGGCTCCGAGCTGTCAGCACAGAGCCCGACGCGGGGCTCGAACTCCCGAACCGTGAGATCATGACCTGAACCGAAGTCAGACACTTCATTGACTGAGCCCCCCAGACATCCCGCCACCGGCTACTCTGTGATGTGGGGTAACGCAGGGAACAGCACACCTAGGCATTGCTGCCTCGCCACCCCCACCCTCAGGACCCCGGGCCTCGGCCTTGCTGACCCCCCTCCCGGGTCCTGGCGCTGAGACCCCACCCTCTGGGGACCAGCCAGAAATCCAGCCCCAATCCAGGGGTCGTCGGTGGGGAAACTGAGTCCGGTGTCTGTTCATGTGCTCAGTGGCCACTGGTCCGTCATCTCTGGGGAGATGTCGTTTCAAATCCTCTGCCCAGTGTTTAGGTGGCAAAGGTGCCTTTTGGCTGTCCCGGTGAAGGGACCCTCACACACCCTGGGCACCTGACCCGCCTCCTGTGAACAACACTTGCAGATATTTCCTCCCCCTCTGGGTTGTCTGATGGTGTCCTTTCATGCTCCAAGTTAATGGTGATCAGTCCAAGCTCAGCTACTTTTTTTTCTTCTGCTGCTCGCACTCGTGCTTACGTGTCTATCCTAAGAGCCATCCCCCCGCCCCCAGCAAGTCCCAGGCTTGGCGGCCCTTGGCAGGGGGAGGGGAAGGAAGAAGGCCGCCCTGAGTTGGGGGGGTGTTTGTTCAGAGCCTGAAGTTTGAGCAGGACTTGGGGGTGGAGAGGGGCAATGGAAGAGAGAACCTTCCAGAACAGGGGAACAGCAGGTGCAAAGATAGGGAGGCAAGAGTGAGGGAGAGATTTGCACTTCCTCTCCCCCCTCCCCTCCTCACCCTCAGGACCCCTGGGGAGCCCCTGTGCCTGCCTGCACCCTGGGTCCCCACCTGCACCCTGAATCCCTGGGGGCCACCTGGCATGAGGGTGCTGACCTGGCTGTGCTTAGAAATCTTCCGGGTCCCCGTGGAAAAGTCCAAGCCTGTCAGTGGGAGAAAGGAGATGGGTTTGAGGACCGGGGTGTGGTGACTGATGGTGACTGACCCCCATATGAGCAGAGGGGAGTGCAGCCCCACGGGGTGGGGGTTGCAGAAACCAGGGAAGTGGGGGGCGCCTGGGTGGCTTAGTCGGTTAAGCGTCCGACTTTCGCTTAGGTCATGATCTCGCGGTTCGTGGGTTCGAGCCCCGCGTCGGGCTCTGTGCTGACTGCCAGCTCAGAGCCTGGAGCCTGTTTCAGTCTGTGACTCCCTCTCTCTCTGACCCTCCCCTGCTCACGCTGTCTGTCTCTCTCTCTCTCTCTCCCTCCTAGAAATAAAAATAAAACATTAAAAAAAAAAAAATTAAAAAAAAAAAAAGAAACCAGGGAAGTGGGGGAAGCCCCCTTGAGAAGGTGAATTCTGAGCAGATGCCGACCAGTCAGTGAGCAGGAACCAGGCGGGGGCAGAGGGAACGGAGTGTGAGGAGGCTCAGAGGTGAGAATGGGTGTGTGTAGGCAGCGGACAGCGGTGCCAGGGGGGCTTGGCCTTCTGGGGGAGCGGGGGGACGGGACAGCTTCTCAGCAAGGCCTTGGACTGGAGACCCCCCCACGTCCTCCTCTGGGGTCCAGACCTGGACCGGGGTGTTTGTGGAGTGACGGATCTAAGGGCTGGACCCCAGGGGAAGACGTGGGGGGTGGTGTCTCCAGTCCAAGGCCTTGCCCCTGACCCGGCTCTCTGGGACTTGTTTTGCGCTTGGAGGTCTGGCCCCCCATCGATCCTTGAATGTCCACTCCGGCATGGCTGGCAGGGTCCCCGCAGGGACAGCCGCCCTTGGGACCAGACCCCCGTGCTGGTCTCTGTCATCGTGCTCCCCACGAACCCCTCTTCCTGAACCCTTTGTCTGGCATGACTGCCTGGCACGCGGGCAGCACAAAATACCGGTTTGGTTTCTTAGCCTGACGCCCAAGTGACCCGCCCCCCCACCCCCCGCTCGGCCCCCCGCCCAGTCCCGTGCCCAAGGCCAGTGGGGGTTGAAATGGCAGCCAATGTCCTGGCCCCCTTGCTTCCCACCACAGTGACGGAGATTAAAGGGTCAACTCCAGGCACAGTGGGGGCCCCTGACCCTAGGTCCCTTCCCACATCTACTGGGGGGTGGTCACTGCTCTGCTGGACGGTCACTAAATATTTTGAACCCCGTCTCCCTGCCACGTGCCCAGCCAGGCTCATCGTCCCCAGGGCCGTGCTCCAGGGCCCCACTGCCCGGCCTCTGCTTCCCCAGCTTGGGAGGCCCTCTGCCCCCAGGGGCCCTTGGTGACCCTCCTGGGGCCGGGCCGCAGACCCCGCTGGCAGAGCAGCCCCAACTGTCCGTGGGTCGGAAAGACGGTGACCGAGTACAGAGAAGGCAGGATGGCCGGCATTTGTCCCGGGAGAGGTTGGACTCTCCTGATGGGTCCCAAGTCACCTTGGGCAAGTCGCCCAGCTTCTGCGGGGGTCAGAGAGGGGGACAGGGGTCCCCAGACCTGCTGTATGTGCTGCCCACATTATGGGGTGTGGCCGGGGGGAGGGGAGAGGGGCTGGACTTTCCTGGGGGAGCGGCAGCCTGGGCTGACCCCCTGTGTGGGCGGGGCGGGGAGTGAGGGGCGCTGGCGGGGGGGGGGGGGAAAGGACCCTTCCAGAGGCCACAGAGCCGGGGGGGAGGGGCAGCAGTGCAGCCGGGCTCTCAAGTCTGTGGCCGAGGTCCCACCGTGGGTGTCTCATGCAGGAGCCAGGGCTGCAGGCCGAGGTCCCTCCCTCACCTGAGGCCTCTGGTTCTACAAGTCCTTCCCTCCTCCGCGCCCCCCCCCCCCCACCAGCGTCCCCTGGGAAGGCCGGGCAGAAACCCGAGACTGAGCCTCTGCCGGGTTCAGGCTGCCTCTCCCTCAGGCCTCCTCCCCCCTCCACGTTGCCATGGGGATGGCAGGCCCGCAGGCCCGCCGCCCACCTGGCCCACACCTGGTCAGCTCGGCCTGGGAGGGGGCCAGGGCCCCGCCCGCCCCCTCCCCCCCCACTCTGCGGCGGACCCCGCTTTCTGGGAAACCCTGTCACGGTTTCCTCTGACCTCTGTTAACCCGGAGTCCATGGCCCACAGAGTTCCGCCTCTGACCTGAGGCTTCCTGCCCCGCATACACCTCCACCCCAGCCACTGCTGAGCGCTCTCCCCAGGGCTCCCCACCTTCCAGAAGGTTCTGGGCCACCTCTGCCCACTTGCCTCCTGCCACACGGCATCCCAGGATGTGGACACAGGAAGGCCCCTGGTTCAGGCAGGACTGCCGGGACCCAGAGGAGGCAGGGGCTGACCGCTGGCTGGGCGGCTTGGACCGTCAAAGCAGGGAAGGGGTTGGGGCAGAATCAGGCTCTCCCCCTCACCGTTGTCCCCTGCAGAGGCCGGCCTGGGTGCTCGGGGCCAAGCAGCATCCCTGGCCCCCCCAACCCCCGTACCAGTCATGACAGCCATAGCTGTCCCCAGACATTGCCCTGTGTCTGTTGGGGGCAGGATTGCCCTGGGCGAGACCCCTTGGGTTAGGGGGTTCCGCTGACCCCCAGGAGACTGTCTTCCATGATCATCTGACCACTGAGGTTCTGGGACACTGCACACACCGAGCGGCTCAGTCGGTGAGGCACAAGGCTCTTGGTCTCAGGGTGGAGAGTTCGAGGCCCACGTGGAACTGGCTTAAAAATAAATGATAAATACACACACACGCTGAGGGGGAGGGGACTGCTGGGCTCCCCTGGCTTGTGCCCTCTGACCTCTCCGGGGATTCACTCTGACGTCTAGTGTGAGCAGGGACAGGACTCAACTTCTTTTTCAAATAATTAATGGGGGGTCTCCCCTCACCCGCCACTGGCCACTGTGGCCATTTGAGACCGTTCTCTGTGGGGCGTCCCGGGCACCTGGGCAGCAGCGGCCCTGGCCCCACCCCCAGCGTGACAACCACAGGTGTCCCAGGCGTGGCCCCAGGGGGAGGGGGTAGGGGTCACCCCCGTGATCTATCTGGGCCTGTGCTGCCTGATACCGCTCCCAGGTTGCATGGGACCGGGCACCCGAGATGTGACGGGCGTGAGATGCGTTGTGAGGGCAAAATACGTACTGATGCCAAAGACTTCGTGGGGATGTAGAAGCCACTCTGCTAATTCTTCATATTGATTACAAGGTAAAACGGGCACATTATGCCTACGGTGGGAGCAATAAAACAGACCCTCCCATCACCTTCCTCTGTTTTCCGGGCCTTAAGCACGGCTGCGAGGATAGATCTTGGGCCCCAGTGACGCGTGGGGGGGGCCCCCAGACCCTGCACACCTGTCCGCTCTGCCCTGCTGGCCCTGGTGCGCTCCTCACACCAGGAAGGGGACGCGGGCCCCTGAGCTGGACGGAGCCGGCGCGGGGGGGCCCTGGGCTGCGGGCTAAGCCACATGGGACTCGGGGGCACAGACGCCATGGGAAAGAACCCGGCTCTCGGGGACGCAGGGGACCGTGCGTGTGCTCGTGTAAAGTACTGCTCAAGAGGATGGAGACCTTGAGCTGGAAGCAGCCCGCACCAACAGGGTGCTCGGAATAACCTCCCTCCAGACCAAGCACAAAAAACAGAGGAGAAAACACAAAACCAACGAAGGGAACACCCAACGCGCAAGACCCCGGAACTGATCTTCCGTGATTGTTTTCGGACCACGAGGTCAGAAAACGGGGTGTCTTCGTGCCGCTCCCGTACCGGGCGGTGCCAGGATTCCTCAGGAGCTGAGGCCGCGGCCACCACCTTCCGCCCGCACCCCCGTGTCAGGAGACCTCAGAACCAGCGGCTCTCTGTGCTCGAGGAGCCTGCCCCCTTGCCACAGGAACTGTCAGCAGGTCTGTCTGGTGGCCGGTGAGGGGTGCCGGGTGGCTGCAGGGGACACCAGTCAGGGAGGGGACACCTAGGAGGTCCCCCAACTTGCCAGGAGCTTGGTCTGGCTCGGATGGAAGTGCCAAGTTCTCTGGTTCCGCCCTGGGTGCCCGGGGAGGGGGGGGCCCTCGGGGCGGCGTCCACCCCTCTGAGGCCCTGACCTCAGGGGCCTCGCCCCAGATTCCCAATCCTCCCTAAGCCCTCGGGACCCAGTCACCGCAGTCTCTTACCCCTTGAAAACAGCAAGCCCGTTAATGGGGTCGGGCGTGTGTGAGACCAGCCCACAGATGCAGCCCGTCGGTGGCCGGGACCAGGCACCCAGCGCCAGGCACCCAGCAGCGAGCAAGCTGCTCCCGGGCCCCCGACAGAGCGACACTGGTGGACGTCCAGTTATCTTCTTTATTCTCTGTCCGACCAGGTGAGACTCTGGGGGCCTAGGAAGCGGCAGGACCCTGGAAAGCCGGTGAAGGAGCCGCAGGAGCAAGCACAGCAGGGAGGGCTCCTTCTGCGAAGCTGCAGGCTGTGCGCCACCTCCGGGGCTCCGGGGACGGGGAGCCTTGGTCACGGCCCCCCGCCCGATGGGGAGCTAGGACCACAGCCCCCTTGCCATTTCCCTCAGCACCTGCGGCTGACCTGCTGGCCGGCCCTAGTGACACGCCCTGGGCAGTTGCTCCCGAGTCTGGGCAACCGGAGGGCACGCGAGGAGCCACCTGCCGCATCTGTCGGCCCGCAGGTCGGGGTGACTGCAGGCCTCGTCTGCTGGCCCCGCTGACAGCTTGGAAACCCATCACTTCCTTTCTGCCGGGTGCCAGCTTGCCTGAGCACAGGGCAGGGCTGAGCCGGTCCCCCCGGGGTGCAGGTCACAGGCTGAGTGACATGAGGTGGTGGGGAGGGCAGAGGAGCGGCCCCCACGGCCACCTCCAGGGGAGGGGGGGGAACGCGCCGCTCCCTGTGTGTTGAAGGATGGGGGCGTCCAGAGGTCCCCTCCGACGCAGCATCCCTTGGAAACAGTGAAGCTGGCTCTTGACGCTACCCCCACGCAGTCTCCCCCCCCCCCGGGGCTGGGCTGCCCCCTCCCCCCAGAGCCAGAGGCTGACCCTCCAGAACAAATGGAACAAGTACAATGGACACAGTTTGCGTTTTCTTTCCCTGTTTTGTTTTGAACCTAAGGAAGCAGGTCTGAGAAGATGCTGGGAGCAGGGACAGGTGGCGGGCGGGGGAGGCCGGGGCGCGAGCGGGACCCCGTCACACGGCCGTGCGCGTGGGCGTGCTGGGCTGGTTCAGCCGCAGCGTCCGACACAGCCAGCCGGCGAAGTCCACTTCTTCCACCTCGGAGCGCTTGATGAAGGTGTGGTTCTGGAAGTGGGAAGAGGCCGTCAGCAACCTGGGGGGCGGCAGCACTCAGGGCGGGGGGGGGGGGGCAAGTGGGAGGCCTGGGTCTCCCCCAGCGCTGCAGGTTGGTGCCTGGCACCCTCTGGCGGGGGGGGGGGGGAGTTGAGGAGCATCCCTGCCCCTCCCCCCCCAGGTGGTGAAGCCCGTGTCCCCTGGGGACGAGGCATCCCTGGGTGAGAATGTCTGATGTCTGATCTGGAGCAACAGAGGCCTCCGTGATGACAGTTAAGTTCCCAACACGGTCTATCTGCTGCGGCAGCCACCGGCCACGTGAGGCTCTGAAGCCTGTGGCGTGTGGCTCCTGTGGCAGGACACGGAGCTGTGCTGCTGTTTCGGTTCAAGTAACTCAGAGCCGCGCGCTGCTGCCAGTTCCTACGAGGAGCAGCTCAGGGCCAGGGGTCCCAGGCGTGCAGGGGGGAGCGGGGTGCAGCTCAGGGCCAGGGGTCCCCGGCGTGCGGGGGGGCGGGGGAGGGTGGCCCCGGGGGCAGGGGGTCCCTGGCAGCGGGTCTAGTCTCCTCACATGACACCCCAGCCCCAGCTGCCCCCCCCCACCCCGGGCAGGGGGTGGCCCCCCGGCAGGGTTTAGCTGGGACCGAGAGCCCCGGGGCCCCACGGGGGCCTCGATATCCAGGAGTTTCTCTATTTCACAGACTTTTGCGTATTTTACAACGAACAGGCGCCTGTGACGTCACACGTGCCTCTAACACGCGTCACCAGGAAAGCTCCCTCGTAGGACCGTGAAGCCTCCCCAAGTCCGCGCACGCACAGCCGTCCCGCCTGCTACGGTCAGCGGTGCCCACAAGCACGAGATGCCGGCCGTCACCGGAGCTCACAGAGGTGAGACGGGACAAGGAGTCTGGGGGCACCTCAGAGAGAGGAGGTGCCCAGGCGGAGACCCAAGGAAGCAGGCAGGCCGGCTGGGCGGGGCCCGGGGCGTGTCCCCCGGGGAGGAGGGCCTGAGGCGGCGGCTGCCTGGAGAAAGCAGGAAGGCTGGGCCCCTTACTGGAAAGACTGTCCCGGTAACTACGAGAGGCTGGATCCCACACACAGAACCAGCACGTTGTGGCCGTCACCAGCAAGTGCTTATGTGTGACAGGTGGGCCGCCCCAGGCTTGGCGGCTGAGGAGACCCGGCAGCGGACGGCGAGTGCAGAGACAAACACCGAGTCTCTCGGAGGCCACAGGTCACAACACGCTGCCCCGCCCCCACCCTGCTGGGGGGAGGGGAGTGGACGTCCCCCCTGGATTCTCAAGGACGCCACACACCGGGTCTCCCGGATCTGCGGGGCCGGCCAGCCCAGCACTTTGCAGGGACACCCTGACCACGGGCACATCGGGCCACTCTGTCCCGTGAGGAGCCGAGGGGTCCACGGCTGCTCTAAGCCACCCCCGCCAGTGGAGCAAGGAGACCTGAGGGGACCCAAGCACCCCAGGACACCAGAGCTGGCCGAGGAGGGCTGGGCCAGGAGGTGAGCCAGTGCCCCCTGGGGCCCAGAATCAGCGGGTCACTCACCATGAGCATCTTGAGATCTGCTCGCTCCGCTGGGTTCTTAATTAGGCTGGAGGGGAAGACGGGGGAAGGCGGTTAGCTGGTGGCCACGGGGACATGCGAGCGGAGCCATGGTGGGTCAGCGCATCCCCTATCCGAGGCCAGGCACGGAATCCGCTCCGCCACCCCCTGCCATAAGGGCACGACCCCTGGGGAGCAAAGGGCAAGAGGGACGGTGCGAGGCTGGGGCCCCAATCTGAGGCCCAGAAGCAACTGCAGTTACACTGCTAATGAATCCCCCCAATCCGGGAGTACGGCCAGATGTCAGATGCAAGTTTTTCCTTCAAAGCAGCAGCACCGCCCCTGAAGACAGCTGCTCAAACACAGAAGAAATCAGCGGGCGTAAAGCATTTATAGATCACCAGGTCAGAGCCGCAGCAAGCTAGCCGGAGGCTATGCAAAGGGCCAGGGGCGCCTTCGCCACCAGGGGCAGGTTTGCCCGTGTGAGATACAGGCCCCAGGCACAGCCCACTCCTCCCGATGAGCAGGGCTGCCCTCGGGGTGAGGGGGCGGCCCTGAGCCCCCTTCCTACTCTGGGGCCTGCTCACCCCAGGCCCAGACTGATGCAGCAAGAAAAGTTGGCCACTTGCCAGAAAGCAACTCGGAAGGCTCATTCAGAAGATGGGGTTACAGGGCTTGAGAGATTAGGAAACTGGGGTGCCTGCTGGCAGAAGGCAAGGCAGGAATGGCATGATTTCCAAATGGCCTGAGATCCTGGTCTGCTCTGGGCTCTGGGGACAAGCTGGGGACACTCGCTGGAGCCCACAACTCAGCGGCCTCAAGGGAACCTATCTGGGTTCTGGGGTGCTGGTGCCCCCCAGGCACCAGCACCCCCAGGCAGTGCCCCATCAGCCCCAGCAGAGGGGCCCAGCCCCGGACCAGGAAGGAAGTGCGCATCTGGGTCGGCTGCCGGGGCGTAGGCAGGCGGGGCCTCTGGTGGCCTGGCACCCGGCCCTGACCCGCCCCGAGACTGCGCTGGGGGCGGGTGCACCTTACCATTTATTTACAAACTCCTGGAAGTCCTGGGTGAAGACACCGCTGGGCAGCTTGGGAGGTGGCTGTGGGGGACACAGAGGTGGGGATCAGACGCCCAAGGATGGTTCTGGAATCACGGGGAAGGCGCCTCCTAGCCCGTGGGGACAGCACAGTACTTTTCGGGGCCCCTCGGAAGGCACCTCTCTTGACCCCAATCCCTTCACGCTGCTAGAGGGGAGCCCCTCCCCATCCAATCCTCTGGCCACTTCCCCACCGCCCTGCCAACTCGGCCATGCTCCTCCAGGGTTCTCTTTGGCAAGGTCTGGTTTCGGGAGCACAGCTGGCTGTAGGGGGGAGGACGGGACCCACCCCTTCACAGATGTGTGTCATGTTATCTGGGACACTCGTCGCTGGGGGGGGGGGGTTGGGACCACTGGGGGGCACCTAGTTCCAGGTTTGGGCCTAGAAGCTGGGAAGCCAAGGTAAGCGCGCCTGGGCGGGGTGGGCTGTGCGCGGGCCGGGCAATCGGGGAAGGCTGCAGGCCCGCTGTCCCCGCGACAACCACAGCGCCTTCTTCCCAGCAGGGGTGGGAGGGGCCGGGTATCCCCAGGAGGACAGACGTGCTCACTGGGCCCGGGCGTGGCTGCAGGTGCAGGACTGTGTCAGCAGAGCCAGCCCGTCCTGTTCTGTCATCGCAGACCCTGCCCACTCAACGCCCCGTGTCTCTGCCCTGACTCAAAAGGGCCACTGAGAACACGCTGCGGCCCACGGGACGCCCAGGAAGGGTGATCGGACTGAGCCCGGAGGGCGGGCTTTGGGCTCTGGTCCTACTCTGCCCCTTTCTGGCGGCAGGCCCGCGGCTTACTCGCGTGTACGAGGGCAATGCCCCCCCCCCCGGCAACCAGCTCCAGCCGCGTCAGGAACTCCCTTCTGGGCAACGTGGGCAAGGTCAGGTCAAACGGCCTAACCAGCGCCCGGGCAGCCGCGCTGGGGGCTCCGGGTACGCACCTCATTCACAATATAGTCGAGCAGCTCGAAGATGGCCATGGCCGGCCGGCTGTCCGTCCCGTGGCCTGCAGGGGCAGACACAGACGCAGGGGTGAGGCAGGCGTCCGCTGAGCGCTCGTCCCCCCTCACAGGCCTGGCCCAGAGGCGCCTGGGCCGTGCTCCTCGCTGTGGAGCCTGCCTCCCTGGGAAAGCAGCCTCTCCTCCGAACCTCCGGTGACAAAACAAAACGCCAAAACGAACAGGAGCCATTTTTGAGAAGTCACACATTTGGCACAGTGCTGCCTCCAGGCTGTGCCAAAGTCACAACCCCTGCTTTCTGGTGCGCAGGCGGGGGGTGGGGGGTGGTGCTGACCACGAGCCAGGACAGCAGCGTGACCTTGCACAGAGCCACGGGCGAAGGCAGCATCAGGCCCCAAACGCTGCCCAGATGGATAGGCGGCTGGGGGCAGCTGATCCTCGTCTTCGGCCCTGCTGGCCAGGGCTGGGTTTGGCCACTGGACTTTTGCCTCCTGTCCCCTGTCCCGAAATGGGCACGTGAGCTGGGGCTGGGCCTCAGCGGAACGCCCGCGATGCCATCTGGGAGTTGGTGCTGGGAGGGACAGAGCCAGGGCCCGAGGACACATGGCGGCGGGAGGAAACCACGACACTGGACCCCATGGTGGCGCCAGGAAAGGAGAGGAGCCAGGCTTGCAAGTACTGCGCCAATCGCCCTTGGGCTGCTCGTGTCCATGAGCAGTGAGGGGACACAACGCGGTCCCCCAGCCGTGAGCAGGAGCGAGGCGCCCACAACTGCCGCCCCACGGACGGACCCTGAACACACGACGCTTGGGGAAAGAACCAGACACGAGAGGCCACGCGGGGTGAGTCCACGTGTGTGAAACGTCCAGGACAGGCTCCTCCACGGACGGGAAGGGGCTCGTGGGGGCGAGGGTGGGATGGGGTGACGGCTGATGGGGACAGGGTTTCTTTTTGACATAACAGGATGTTCTGGAACTAGACAGTAGTGATGGCTGCACAGCCTTGTGAAGACACAAAGAGCCACTGAATCGCACGCCTTAAGCCAGTGAGTCACGTGGCGTGTGACGTCTCTCTCCGTAAAGCTGGGGTCAAGCAAGTGCACAGGCCATTGCCGTCCCCGGCACGTTCCTTCAGACTCACTCCACTCCCTTCCTGTCACTTGACTTAAAGACAGCAGAGCCCTGAGCGCTGCTTCCTAGTTACGCCGCCATGACCCTCCCCCTCCCCCCTCCAAAATGGTCGAAGGGTCAGCCTGAAGCTCTCTGGCCCTGGGGAGCCCCCCTACCACACAGGTGACCACCGCGGGCACGGAGAGTCCTCTGGGGCCCCAGCACCCCCAGCCTCCCGTCCTCTCCCGCACCGTGTGTGGGGACTGAACCAGACAGGCCACCCGGGGAAGTCTGAGCCGAGTCAGTTTCGGTTTCTGAAGGCCTGGCCCAAACACAGCAGAGTGTCCGCCACAGTCCAGGCGGGGGGTCGCTGGGTGTTCGCCAGCCACTCCTCGTGGGCCCCTCTCTGTGTTTGAGCGCTTCTGAGTAAAGTGCCAGAAAAACACCCAACCAGCAGCTTGCCCGAAAGGTTAGTTGCTAGATGCCCCGCAGCTGGTAACACATGCAGCTGCCCCCGGACAGGCCCGGGTCCGGGGGGCCGTCCCCACAGCCTCAGGTGCCCGGGATCCCCCGTGCCGGTAACGCTGCCTGTCCAGTCCAAAGTTCCAGATTCAGGCCATACCACTGATGGGGCGTCCAGGGGGTCTCGGCCGTGGTGAGATGCTGTGAGGCTCTCCTTCTGCCCCGTCAACCACGGGCCGGCCGAATATGGCCTCTAGCTCCTTGGCATCCGGCGGGGGGATGGGGTACCTTCCGATGGACAGCTCCACCAGGGACAGGCCCATGCTCCAGATGTCCGACTGCACCGAGTAGTGCGTGCCTTGCAACCGCTCCGGCTGTCGGGGGAGAAAGCAAGGAAACGCCCAGAGGGCAGCTGGACCCCGGCGTCCCCCTCCCGGCCCCTGTCCACGGCCCCCCCACCCCGAGACCTGGCAATGGAGAGAAAGCAATCCCGTCCCCCTCTCCACCACCTTGGGACGGCGAGCCTCATGGCCGGCGCCGAAATAGTGCTCGAGGCCCGAATCTTTGGCGCCCTCGGGAAAGGATGATCAGCCCAGGAAAAGCCAAAGCGATGCCTCCCTTTCCACTGCCATCCCAAGACTAACTTCTCAGAATCTGCTCCTTAGATCCCCCAGAAGTTTCCAGAAACATCCGAGGGCCAGTTTCTGATCACAGCCCTGCACTAGCCTCTTACTACTGATAGAAGGAATGAGGCAGGTATTTCCAGAAAAGACCCCGAATGACGAGACAAAGACACAATTCGAACGGAAAATAAAAATCCAGTGAAGTGTGTTACCAAGAACTACAAGCAGAAATTCTGAGAAGCTTCTGGAAGACGGGGAAGAGCTGACAGGAGAGGGGAGGGTACGGACGCCCTTAGGCTCCGAGACAGACTTACAGACATGTAGGACCGAGTTCCCACGAAGGAGTTGGCCATGGAGTCGATGAGCTGGCCGCTAACCCCGAAATCGCACAGCTTGATCTCCCCTCGGGAGTTGACGAGGATGTTGGACGGTTTCACATCTGAGGGCCAACCAGCAGCAGGTGAGGGGGTCTGGCCCGGCCCTCAGGCCCCCGTCCTCCCCCCCGGCCCCCCCATACACCCGCTCACCTCGGTGCATGATCTGGTGCTTTTCCCGGAGATACGCCAAACCCCGGAGGACCTGCGAGGAGGGGGGCCCAGGAGGGGTGAGCAGACCCAAGGGGCCACTTGTCTGAGACAAGTTTAGGGAGCCCACGTGAGGTGGGGACAAGTGAGATGAGTGGCAGGGACGGCCATGAGGCCCCGCCCCCGCCCGGCATGAGGGGCACTGTCTGCTGAGAGCCTGCGAGCTGGGCTGCACTGAGGCCCCGCACACTGACGGCTACTTCACCGAGCGAGGACGGCGCTGGGGCAGCGCCCAAGGGGCACCGGGGCCGTGCGGGGCAGGAAACACCCCTCCGTCTAATGCGCAAAGATGCCCTTGCTCTGCCCGCAGCCGCCGGAACCAGCACCTCCCACTCCAGCCACGGGGAGGGGGCAGGACCGTGTAAGTCAGCGGCAAGCCCAGGCCCGCGGCGCCCGCACACTTACCGCGATGCTGACCTTCCCCAGGATCTCCTCGGGAATTCTCTTGGCTTCTTTCAACACCTGGTCCAGAGAGCCGCCGTCCTAGGGTCGGCACAGGGGAAGAGAGCAGCCGCTCTCAGCAGTGGGCCGGGCGGGGCCTGCAGCGCGGAGGAGGCGTCCCCGAGGGACCCCGGGCAGCAGGCAGGACAGCAAAGCGCCTCCCCGCTTCCTGCTGAACTGGGGCTCAGTCTCCTCCACGGGACACAGAGGCCAGACCACAGCCAGACGCCACCCTCTGGCCAAGAGCCAGGATGCCCTTGGGCCCCTGCCTCCTCGGGGGGCTCAGGACAGCCCCGTCCTTCTAGGCAGCGAGGGCGGCGGCACATGGAGTGGGGCTGCCAACTTTGGGATCTAGGCCCCTCCCTCAAGCTGGGGCAGCCCCAGCAGCAGGGCAGTGGGGGCCCGGGGTGCCAGCGCAGGAGACGCACAGCTGCCCACGGTCCCCCCCCCCCCCCCCCCCCCCCCCCCCCCCCCCCCCCCCCCCCGCCCTCCCCGTGCCCCNCCCCCCCCCCCCCCCCCCAAGGCCTCATCTCGTGCTCGGATCCTACCTGGCTGAGCCCCATCTCACCCCGCCCTGGTCATGGCCTTAAATCCGCAGGCTGCCGGACAGCAAACCTGGAGAGCAAACCTAGATGGGGCTCCGAGGACATGCCCACTGCGTCCCCTGCGACGCAAGGTGGACCCACTAAGTGCCAAGCGTTGGGGGCCAGCATCTGAGCTCAAGGCAGGGAAGCCTCTGGGCCGATGCATTCTCCACCAAACGGCTCCGGGCCACCTACAGCCAAATGGCTTCCTCAAAGCAAGAGGAAGGGGTGCAGGGAGGAGAGCCTGAAGTCCAGGGATGCCGGGGCCTCCCATCTCCAGCACTTCTACCTGAGCTGTGCTCCGTGAGAAAGACCGAGGGTGGGAAGTTCTAGAAAACTCGATGCACGCTGACGCTTCTACAACCTGTATGTGACTCCTGACTAGCTCCAGACCCAGCATGCAGGCCGGTGCCCAGATGGCCGTGGCCAAGGAGAAACCCCCAGGGCCGGACGCCCTGGCTGAGCCGTCTTGGCCTGCAGGCGGGGCCTCCTTCCAGCCCTCCTGGGCTTTGTGCTAGCGACCAATCTTAAAATATAACCCTGGTTCTAACACAGCTTCTTTCGTTTTTAATTTTCACGGACCTGCCACAGGTTTATAAACGAGGACGTCCAGGGGATGCATCCCCAGAGGCCACGGGAGGCCCGGCCCTGCCCAGTCCTGCAGACCACACACGTCCCCCGGACGTGGCTCAGAGTCCCCTGGGGCAGGAGCAGTCACAGATGAGACCTCCCTGGTCTGCGCTCAGCTAAGCTGTTCAGGTCACATCGACAGGAAGTGGTGGAGAGAGCACAACTGGGCGTCTGACCCCGAATCTCACGCCGCACGTGGGCAGGTGTTGTACACGCTCTGGACACGGTACCCTCATCAAGCAGGAGCCACGGGACTACTTTCCTCATAGAGCCCCCAACTGCAAGTAAGTAAGCCCCCAGTCCCCTGGAGAGTGGGCCGGCCTCCCCTGATGTGTGACTTCTATTCTTCCAGATCTTTCTGCATGCTTACATGGGCATCCACACTCGTAGGGAACCGCAGAGTCTAAGGAACGCACCTAAGCAAGCTCCCGTTACCTCTGGGACCTGCCCGCTCAGGGCCCACATGCCACGTCAGCCATGTCCTCCCTCCTCGGCCTGGGCGGGGGTCCCCCTTTGCTTCTCCCTTCCAGGAGGTGGGACTTTTCAGTGCTGAACCACGTGGGCACACATCCTTCAGACCCCAAGAAACACCAAGAGGTGTGTCTGAATGGTCAGCAAGCTGCCTTCACGCCTCCCACTGTCCGTGGGCTCCATGCCCGGGGTGGCCCCAGCGACAGCTTCAGGCCACTGGGAAACCACAGGCCTGCTGTTTCTAAGCCCCAGACGCCCACCCCAGCCGGCCAGGTGAGGCCACGCCTGTATGCTCGTCGCCAGGCAGGGCTCCGCTCCCGCGAGCTGGGGCCGCCGTCTACCCAGCTGGACACAGGAGACGGCTCGCCCTCTGCCCAGGGCTCCAGGCGCCAGCGAGAAGCCGGCCTCCCTCCCCTCAGCCCTACAGGAGAAGGGGGAAGAAGCTCGTCCGCACTCACGCCAATAAGAGGTGAGTGGTAGCGTGGACGCCTGACCCCAGGCTGTCGCCCAATGTGGCACACGAGTGACTGATCTAGAGACAGGAAGCCCTGGGGGGGATCATGTGACATGAAAACAGCAGGAGGGCGGTGGGCTAGGCCCCCCTGCTACTATCCCCTGCCTCTCCCCTCGCCTTCCCTGCCTACAGGGCCCCTCCTGCAGGCTCCTCCGAAACCGTAAAACCAGTGGCCGCCTTCCTCCAAGCACGCAGCCCCGAGGCAGGCGGAGCAGGAGCCTCGCTGGGCGCTGCACGCTCGCTCTACCGCCCGCCTACTCTTGTAAGGAAATCAAGCCAAACCCCAACCAGGACCATATAGAGGGAGAGGATGAGCACAGGCAGTCAGGGTCCCCGGCCCGGCCCTGTCCTCCGAGCTGCCGGCGTGCAGGTGCCTGGGCAGGAAACCGAGAACAGAAGCGGGGGCCGGGGGGCCACTGGGCCTCTTCCAAAGGGAAGGAATCGCACCGCGCTCAGGGGCAGCCGGGAGGGGAGGTGGAGGCGAGCCTTGACCACCATTCTCAGCCTTGGCTCTGGTGGGCAGGGAGTGGCGGGCGGGGTGCTGCCTGACGTGGGTCCTGGGGCAGGCGCCACCTGTCCTGCACTGTCACACGGCAGGCGCTCCGGCCGCATCCCTCAGGGCCACTTGCTGAAATCACTTCCTACTCGCGTTACGACACCGTTGGAGGTTGGAGGGGACAGAGGGGACGGCGCAGGCTAACCGAAGCCACCGTGCCTAAGGCCACAGCATCCTGGTTTTGCAAGAGCCCCCCGGGGCCGGGCCTGGGGGGCCGAGGGCAGGCAGGCAGCCCCACACCTGACGGGCTCGGCTCGGAGCAGGGTCGGCGGCACTTCCTCCGAGGGCCCTCCGCTCTGACCACTTCTGCTTTTGTCACACCCAATCCCACCCAGTTCTGACGTTCAAGGTCACGGTTTCTCAACAAGGGGGCTCATCAGAGTCAGCCGTGGTGGTTTGAAAAACGATAGGCGCCCCGTTCCACCCCGAAGTTCCTGACACCGCAGACCTGCGCAGGGGCCAGAGGGGCTTCACCTCTAACGGAGCCCACTATTCAAAGGGCACCTGGGGGACATGGATCAAAACTGTGGGACGCCTTGGGCCCGGCGATCCCAGCTTCGCGACCTCATCCCGCGCCTCGCCTGAGGAAATGCCACGCGCTGCCGCTTGGGAAGGGCCGCAAACAGCCGTGTCCACCACCGAGGGGTGTCCAACGCGCTCCCCCACGGGCACGTGCTTCCTCCACGCAGCCACGAGAGGCGAGGCTGGAAGGGGGCGGAGAACAAGGGACCTGCGCGCGCACGGGAGCGCACCGCTGGGAACATCCCCGGAAGGGACCCATGGGAACAGCGGTGCTCAGAGTCTGAGAACTCGCCCCCTGCCGCCCACGCTCACCATGTGCTCCATGCAGATGCTGATCTCGCCGTCGCTGTAGAAGGCCCCGTAGAAACCCACGATGTAGGGCGAGTTACACTCGTGCAGCACCTGCAGCTCGCGGATGATCTGGTTGCGGATGGCCGGCTTGATTTCCAGGTGGATCAGCTGCGGGGAGAGAGAAGGGGGCTGGCGACCAGGCCTCTAAGGGCCGCCAGGCAGGGGGTGGCTATGGCCCCCTGCCCTTGATGTGCTCATGACAGCATTCAAAACAGCAGTGTACTCCTAGGCATATGCCTAGAGGACCAAAAAGATACATCCACACAAACTCGCACCCCATGTTCAGGCAGGACTCATGATAGCCAGAACATGAAAGCCAGCCAGCGTCTACCGCGCATGCGCACGCCGACAGATGATCATGTCCACTGCGCACGTCCCTTAGATGCGTCCACCGCGCACGCACACGTCCCTCGGCCGCGAGCAGGAGCGAGGAGCCCGCACCCGCCGCCCCCTGATGGACCTTCAACACGACGCTCACGGAGGGAACCAGACATGGGAGGCCACACGTGTGTGAGTCCACGTGAGTGAAACGTCCAGAACAGGCTCCTCCATGGATGGGAAGGGGCTCGGGGGACTGGGGCGGGGGGCGGGGGCGTGTGTGTGACTGCTGTCAGAAATGGGGTTTCTTTCTGGGGAGAGGTAATGTTCTAGAAAAGACGGTGGTGGTGGACGCACAGCTCTGTGAATGTACACCGATGAATTACATATACTTTAAGGGGAGGCAGCTTAGGCACCTGGGGGGCTCAGTCGGTTAAGTGTCTAACTTCAGCTCAGGTCATGATCTTACGGTTTGTGGGTTCGAGCCCCGCGTGCTCTGTGCTGAAAGCTCGGAGCCTGGAGCTTCAGATCCTGTCTCCCCCTCTCTCTGCCCCTCCCCTGGTCATGCTCTGTCTCTGTCTCTCTCAAAATTAAACATTAAGGGTAAGCGGAGGAGGAAGCCAACCCCCCACCCCACCCCCCACTGCTAAACAGTAGGGCATGTAAAGTACATCTCAGTAACACTGTTGTAAAACAAACCTAGATGGAGCAAACGTTTTCCCGCAGGTATAGGGGAGCTATGGAGAGGACTCCTCCCGAGTCACACGCGGACCCAGCCCAGGACGGCCATGACCTCTGGCCCTCGCAGCCAGGGGGCTGCCCCTTAAGACCCCGTCTCCACATGGAGGGAGCCCCAGGCCGCCACCCGAGGGGCCCAGCTCCCCCTCACCCGAGTTCAGGTCGGCAGAGGGGATGGTCACTTCGACGTTCAAGAGAAACCACAGGAGCATCTGGAGAGGCGCGGAGCGCAGCTGGCAAAGCACCATGGGCAGTGCCCGCCAGGAAAGAGCGGAGGCCGGGGTCCCCCATCCCGGCCACCGAGAAGCTTGGCTGCCACGACTGCCGTGCTGGGACAGGAAGACGGGAAAGGACCGAGAGTGTCCAAGCCCGCCACACATCTGCTTGGGATCCCTGGGATGGGCACAGGGGGTGGCGAAGACCTACTTGGAGGGGACGCGGCTTGTCGTCAGGAGGGGACAGGGACCAGGGGAGACGACCAGCTTGGGGGCCTGGACGGCCAGGCGTGGCAGGGAGCAGGTGTTCCGGGGAGGGGGGGACAAAGAGCGGACTGAGGGCACTGAGGCGTGAGTGCCCGGTTCCAAGGGGCACGTGGTACCAGCTCATGCCGATGACTCTGGCCGCCTTAAGAAGCAGCGGGTCATGGTGGCACGGTGCCTGGTACGCCTCGCCCTCCCCACCAAACCTGGGGAGCTGCTGCTGCCACCTCAGGGGCCAGCTCTGGCCACGAGCCTGGGCACCGCGCCGTCCCCACAGCCACCCTCTCGGACGCTGGGGTACTCCCTCCTCGCCGGGACCAGCTGTGAGGTGATGCCCAGACAGCACGCTGGTGACAACACCAGCTGTGAAAACGAAGCGCGGCTGTCTACACGGGAGACAGGTGGTCTCTCCTCAAAAGCCCAGAAAGAGGGACCTGTGGAGGCCGAGGGTGCGCAATGCAGGGTGACGTCAGCCAGTGCCACACCCCAGAAACACAACCAGGCCGCGTGTTGCCTCAAACCCTGTCGCTGTCGCCTTGGAAAAGTGCGCGGAAACGGGGGGAGATGAACTTCTCACTATCTCCACCCAGTGCGGTGTATCGAAGCGTTACTGTTTCCACATGAACGAGATGTCCCCACCCGAGTCCGAGGCCGGCGCGCATGTGTCTGCACGAGCTGCACCTTGTGGACCAACGGTCTCACGCCCGTGGCCACGGCTGACCAGCACGGCTGCCGGGACGCTGCGGCCCCCGACCAAGAACTTCAAAGGCTCCGCAGACCAAAGACCGCGCTAGGGGCTGCGCAGAACAGGAAGAGCAGACGGAACCAGACAGAACGCCGGGGGTCCCGGGTGCCTGTGCTTGGGGCCTTTAGTGGGAAGTAAGGCCACAGGAAGTCAGAGGCTTTCAGGAAGGAGGCCGTAGAGAACGCGGCAAACAGGCACATAGCTGGGCCTGTAGAGAGTCTTCCAGATCAGCTAGGAGCCAGCCTGCTGGCATCTCGTCTGGGGAAAAGCAGGGTCAGGGAGCGAGGGGCACGTCTCTGGGCACGTGCGTTCACAACTCACAACGCCAATCTCGGGGGTGGGGGCAGGCCTCGGTGCTGCGAGCTTAAATCCTGCTCCCAGCCACACGTGGCCGGTGAGCGGGCGGGTCCAAGCTGGGCCCGGGCTCCCTGAACACCAGCACGCATGTACGCGCCTTGCGCGCCCCACCCCAGGTCCACAGACTACATAAGGCTGGTGCTCGGCATTCAAACCCAACACCAAACCATCCCGGGGCATGAGGAGACGATTTCCACTGCAGGATGGGGAGCCAGGAGGTGCAAGCTAGAGAAAGGGGGAAATTAATTCTGGAGGCCAAAGGCTGAGGGCTCCCAGGAGGTCAGGGACAGCCTCAAAGGGCAGGCCTCAGAGGGGTCAGCCCCACCCGATTCACAGGCTGCCCCCCACCCCCCTGGCTGCAGGTTTCTCATGTGCTCCAGTTAAACCAAGACAGGACGCTGCCTCTGCCGTGGGGCGGGCACTTGAGAGGGGGCAGCCGGTACCACGACATGGCCTTCCAGACGCCACAGCACCTCCATCGTGGAGGCAAGCAGGTGCACGGGGGTCGCACAAACTCGTCTCAGCCACGAGCCCACCAGGAAGGCACTCTGGACCAAATGCGCCCCGCTCTCTGCAGGCCTCTCCTGGCCCGACACATGCAGGCTCGGCGCCTGGGCCACGAGGGGTCAGAACACCGTGCTTCTGCCAAGAAAACGTTCATGATCAAACGTGACTGCAGACATCCAGACCAGTTCACTGGGGGCTTGCACACTGGGGGCTTGCACAGCCAGGCTCCCTGCTCTCCCTCTGCCGACCAAAGGGACCAGAGAGATGCCGGTGACACGGGGTGGCAGCCCCCGGAGAGGCCCACCCCAGGCCTCGACTCTGGCCCCGCTGCCAGGCCGCACTGGCAGATCTAATAAGCTTTGTACTGAGAAAGCACGAATTCAGACCCAGCATCCGGGAACTCAGAACCCACCCAGGCTGATGGGCGGAATGACCGAGGCTGCTTTTCCAAAAACCGCTTTGCCACATCAGTTTCCTGTCTGTGCGCGCAGCTGAATAAAGATGGGGCTCCTGGGTGAAGAGCTGTTCCGGATGGATTCTAAGGGGGCTCTGACCCCCGTGGATGGGCTAAGAGAGCTCTCGGACCACTGTGGAGCCACAGCCCCGAAATGCGTGGCTGCGAGGCGAACGGCCTGTTCCACATGTTCACCGAGGGCCGGTGGCCACAGCCCCACTCCGACACAGTGCTGAGCGCGCAGCAGCTCGGGGCCCACACGACCAAGAGAAGCCACAATCTACGGGGAACGAAACTGCAGGTCCTTCTCCCCACTATGCGAGAGCAGCTTAGCTTTCTGGTTTGAAGGATTTCTGGAAGCGCGGGGAAGCTGTGAAACTGGCAGTGCCCGTGCAGACGCAGGGCACCCTGGTCCCTTGCGACAACTCTGCCCAGCTCCGTGTTCTCAGGCTCCCCCAGCGCCCCGAGTCCCACATCTGCCTTGTTACTCCCTGCACTGTGGGTGACGGCAAGCCAGGGACTTCTGGAAAGGCTGCCTGTGGGGAGGGGACAGAAAGACAGGGAGGCCAGTGCTCCAGGGGCCGGAGAAGGGGCGACAGTGCTAAATCCCAGCAGACAGGGCGTGTGGCAAGCGCAGGAAAGGCCGGCCCCGCGTGGACCCCGGGGGCGGGGCAGGCAGGGTTCTGAGGACGCCATGTGGGACTAACGGAGAACGGGCCACGGCTGTGTGAGCTGAATAGTTTGTCACACAGAGTCCCCTGGTTGTGTGTACAGGAGCCACCATCCCCAAATGGGCACAGCATCCTCTTCTCCACCCCCATCTCTCAGGGAGGGTCCTCGCCCGCCCAGCCAGAGGCGGAGCCACTGTACCCCAGTCCCGACGTTTCAGGGAGCGTGACTTGAAGTCTTGGAAGGCGGCGGTTGGTCAAGGAGGAGCAGCCACCCAGGCCGGCTCTCCGTGGGCCTGGGCGAGTGCCCCGAGCCGATCAGAAGGCAGAGGCCCGCCGCACCACATGCGGCGGCACTGCGCAGGGGTGCGGGGCCCGCCCCGGCCCACCGCCTCTCACCTTTCTCGCCATGATGAGGCCAGAAGGTCTGTGCTGGACCTTGGTGACCACCCCGCCATTCCCGGCCCCCAGCTCTGAGATCCTTTCGAAGTCATCGTCCTTGAGCTCTCCGACCTTGGCCTTCTGGGTGAGGAAGGCTTCCAGCCGCTTCTTCTGCTGCTCATCGAGTTCAAGCTCTGCTAGCTTCTTCTGGAGGTCCACCAGGTTCGCTCTGCAAAGACCGCGAGGGCAAGGGCTAGCCACGAAGGTGCAAGCCACGGGGAGACGACCCGACCAGCCAGGCTCACCCTGCAGCTGCTGTGTGCCAGGCCCCGTGTGTGCGGCTGGAAGGACATGGGGACAGCTCGGACCCGAGTCCCGTGTGGAGGACACCACCCCTTCCCTGAGGACGGGCTCTGGTGCAGCGGTCCTAGCCTTAGACCCCAGAGCCCCACGTCCTGACACGGAGGTGACGGGGGAAGGGGGCAGGCAGAGCCAAGAACAAGAACCGAACGGCAGAAGACAGAAGTTGCAGGATGTGGGCCTTTAACGCACACGGTGACGCGCAGGCACTGGAGGGAAAAGGAGAGCGGCCAGCACACTCTCATTCTACTGCTTTCAACACCAAACATTCAGGCGCACAAACATTCCTGGAACCAGTTAGTAAAAAAAAAAAAAAAACAAAAAACAACCACGTACTCTTCACTTTATTGGGTGATTCAAGGAATTTTGACAATAACCTAATTTCACGAATGCCTTGACCTTAAACTAAATCCTGGAGTAAAAAGCAGCTCCCTGTAGGAGGTGGGCAGACATTAGCTCAATGCACACAAGGACTGACACGGTGCCGTCCAAAAGAAACAGAAGAGGGGAACCTGGGGGATTCCAACTTCGGCTCAGGTCATGATCTCAGAGTCTGTGAGTTCGAGCCCCGAGTCGGGCTCTGTGCTGACAGCTTGGAGTCTGCAACCTGCTTCAGATTCTGTGTCCCCCTCCAACCCCTGCCCCCCTCCGTGGCTTGTGCTCTCTCTCAAAAATAAACATTAAAAAATAAAATAAAATAAAATAGAATAAAAGCCACACATGCAATTTAATTTTTTTAGGTGTGTGCAATTAAAAATTTTTTAGCAACATTAAAAAAATACGTTAAGAAGAGTTGGTGAAAATAATTTTTTAACATATTCAACTTAATGCATCAAAAATAGAATTTTCAGGGGTGCCCGGGTGGCTCAGTCAGTTAAGTGCCTGACTTTGGCTCAGGTCATGATCTTGCAGCTCATGAGGTCAAGCCCCACATAGGGCTCTGTGCTGACAGCTCAGAGCCTGGAGCCTGCTTTGGATTCTGTGTCTCCCTCTCTCTCCACCCCTCCCCTTTTACATAAATGTTAAAACTTTTAATGTGTAATAAAAAACACAGTTTTCAACACGGAATCAATATAAACCAATTAATGAATACTTACTTTCCTATTTTTCATTTAAAGTTTTTGGAATCTGTAATGCATATGACACTTACGGCTCCCTCTCCCCTGAATCTAGACAAGCTGCATTTCAAATACTGGCTGTGCTCAGGGGCTAACTGCAGCACATGGGGTGGGTACCTAAGAACAATCTCTAAAGGAGAACGAGCCACCTCAGGTGGTCCCTGGCCACAGAGTTCTTTTTTTGAGAGAGAGAGAGAGAGAGAGAGAGCGCACACGCGCAAGCCTGAGAGAGCGCAAGCAGGCTCCATGCAGGTCATGACCCTCACATTATGACCTGAGCTGAAATCGAGAGTCAGACGCTCAACCTGGCGCCCCCACCAATTTCTGATGGCCTTGAAGCCAAGGCTGATCACCCACCCAGGTGAGACCTTGTTGGGGGGACTCAAACAGGGAATGAAAGGTGGACACCAGAGTTCTCTCAGGAACCTTCCAATCCCCCACTCGACCCCAACTAGCCTGGAACGTAGAGGCCCAAGCAAAGGGGCATGGGCTGGGAAGGAGACGCTCTGCGGCTGGCCGGGCCACGCCATCTGGACCAGAAGTGCAAAGAAGCTGCTAGAAGGCAGGGAGTTACGTGCCACTTCGTATCAGAGCTTTGCAAACACTGCCCTGTTGTGTTCTCAAGAGCCTCCTAGGAGGCGGGTGTCTTGTAGTCCTGGCCCACACAGGAGGGAACGGGCTCAGAGAGGTTAAGTCATTTGCCTGAGGGTGACAGCACATGGACGCGGCAGTGCCTGGAATCAAACCCGGATCCTTCGGGATTGCAAAGCCCTGCTCATGGCCCCTGAGACAGGACCGTGTGCCTGGGGAGGTGCTCCCTGAATGCCTGCTTCACAAAGACCTGGACGAGGAACGGCTGAGAAGGACTGACGGACAGAGGAGGGCAGGCAAAGCCATGAGCCTACGCAACACGATTCCTTCCCAAAAGGTTAAAGAGGCAGCTTCTGAAGCCAGACCCTGCGAGGTCTCTGGCACTGCCCTGTGAGATCTAAAATGCATTCTGGAGTCAGCTGATTAATCCATCTTAAATTTAATAGCAACTCGCCTGTGGTTATAAACACACACGAGCGTGCACACGCACGCACACACACATGCTGGAATTCCAATGGCTGGCCTCCTCCGCCGGGGGAGTTCTGGAAGGGATGGAAATCAGACCACGGTAAGAGGGAGAGAAGAGAGTATGAAGAAGGCGCTCTCCCGTGAGAAGAATGAGGAGTGGAGGTCTGAGAATAAGGAACACATGCCCACCTTGAGCCGCAAACCCAGAGACAGAAGAGATGTCAGCTGCACACGCAGCCATCGAGACCCCCTCGCCCAAGGCCCCCAGGGCCAAGTCCTCCACTAGGTGCTGAACCTGCAGTCCACCCCTTGCACCTGCCTCTCGTGGGGCCACAGCTAACAGACCCCAGCCAGCCAGGGGCCTCTGGAACCATCGGCACCTCTTATCGTGGGCAACTGGAGAGTGGGGACTTTTCCGTGGCCAAGGGGTCACCCTGGCCTGACCTCACGAGCACCTGCCCCTCACACACTATGACTCTGCTGTCTTGAAACCCCACGGTCCCAGATGCCCCCTTTCTGTCCCCCAAGTCCTCCCGTCGCTTCAGTGTCTGCAAGGCTCCAGCCCCCAAAGGTGGCGCTTCGCCCCCAGGATCCTGCAGCTGGCCTCACTACCTCGCCCGGTCCCCCAGACACCCCTCAACTAATCTCCCCTCAGGAGCTCCTGGCTCCCGTCCTACCCTTCAAGGACCCCTCCCCCTTTCCTGTCTTCTCAGGAACCCCATTCACCCCATTCATTGTATGCAAGGACCTTCCCTCTCTGAGCCCAGTTTCACTGTCCAGGGGCCCCACACCCCATCTTGTCCCTGAAGGGACGTCCCCCTGCCTTGATTCACCACTCAGACTCCTCCCCCCCATCCTCAATGGGTAGGAACCGCCCCCGGCTCCATTTCACTCCTCAGGACCCCCCACCCCATCCTCTTCACTCAGGGACACTGTTCCCAGGCCTCACTGCTCAAGGACCACCTCTCCCCAACTTCACTATTCAGCAACGCCTCCCCCCCCCAGACCACTCAGGGAGGGCCTCCTCCCCCCGACCTCACTACTCAGAGCCCCCCACCCCCTTGCCCCAACCTCATTACTCAGGGCCCAACCCCCATCCTTTCCACTCGGGGACCCTCTCCCGCTGACCTCACCACTCAGGGCCCTGTATCCCATCCTTTCGACTCAAGGACCTCCTGCCCCGACCTCACTACTCAGGGCCCCTCTCCCCCAGACCTCACCAATCAGGAAACCTCCACCCCATCTCCCCTCAGGCCCCGCCTCCTACCGAGCTCACCACTCGGGGACCCCCTCCCCTTCCACACCCCGGCCAAGCCCGGCCCACTCACTCGGAGGCGCCCTCGCTGGTGGGGGACGGGCCCTCGGCGATGGCGGGGTTGATAGTGAGCGCCGGCAGCACCGGCTTCCTCCGGGCCAGCATCGGGGCTCCGCGGGCCGGCGGCGGCGGGACCTCTAACCGGGGCCCATAGGGGGCGGGCCGGGAGCGGGCGGCGCCGACGTGAGCCCGGGGCTGCGGCGGCGGCCTAGGCGGGCGGCGAGGGCGGGCGTCGCTGCGGGCCGGGGCCGAGGGGCGCCGAGAGGTGCCGGGGCTGAGGCCGGGGAGCCGCCGCCGCCGCAGGGGAGGCCCGCCCGAGGCTGACGCTGCAGCCGGAGCCCGGGAGGCAGAGGGCAGGGAGGGGGAGCGACGAGATCGCGGGCCGGCCTCTCGCGAGATCCAGTGCCGGGAGCCGCGCGGCCCCGCCCCTTGCCGAGGCGCTTGCGCACCAGCCGGAGGCCGCCTTCCTGGGGGGCGGGGGGGTAAGGGGGCGGAGACCTACTGAGGCGGTGCCCTGAATCCGAAACACACGCTCGCGTCGCCCCGCGCGTTTGCGCATGCGCCTGGGGCTCTGGGGGCAGGCGGAGCTAGAGGAAGGCAGTTTAGGGATGATGAGAGTGTGGGCAGGTGGGCAGGGGTGACGTCTTGTTCCTGTGAGCCTAGTGGGTGCTGGACTGGGGCTCCGTGAAAATTCCCAAAAGCTGTGGGAGACCACCCAGAGTCAACTTCAGTGCTTTTCCCACTTATGGACACATTCACGCACACACCCCGCATAATATCAATTATCCAATTCTTTCATAAAAGAAAGATTATTTGAAAAAAAATTTGTTTTTTAAGTAATGTCTACACCAACGTGGGGCTTGAACTCACAACTGCCAGATGGAGAGTCACATGATCCACCGACTGAGCCAGCCAGGTGCCCCTCAAAACATTTTTTAAATTGTGGTAAATATATGTGACATAAATTTACCACTTAACATTCTAAGCGCACAGCTCAGCGGCATCAAGCACGCTCCGCTCACACTGTCTTGCAGCCGCCCCCACCATCCGGCTCCAGAATTTTCCATCTCTGTCTCATAAAACACGGACTCCCCACTGCTGGCTCCCACCATCTACCTCTTCTGTGGATGGGACGCCTCTAGGGACCTCAAATAATTGGAATCATATTGTTAAAAAGAAACAATAGGCCCAAAATGGATTCACCCTGTTAAGCCCCATGTCAGCGAACCAAGACTTAATACCCAACCCAATTACAGTTTGAGGCTCTCCCAAGAATGACCTTTAAGGAGTCGATCTGGAATTACTTGGTTATCACCAGCAAGATAACCTGCCCGATAGACCCCCCCCCCTGCCTTCCCCTAAAGGAAGGTGACCCTGCCTGAAACAATCCACTCTTTGCTAAAAACTTCCTTTTTCTGCCTGCTTCTGCCTTTAAAAACTTTTCCTTTCGTACAGCTTTTCAGACTTCCTTTCTACCTGCTGAGCCAGGATACCGTGCACTTCATGAATCATTAAATAAAGCCAATAAGAGCTTACATTTACTCAGTTGAATTTTTTTTTAACGATGGAGTATGTGTTCTTTTGTGTCTGACTGATTTCACCAAGCATAATGTCCTCAAGCTTCATCCATGTAATAGCAGGTGTCAGGATTCCCCTCTCTTTTAAAGCTAAATAATATTTTATTGGGTGCATAGGACACTTTTTGTTTATTCGTTCATCCATTGTTGGATATTTGGGTTTTTCTATCTTTTGACTCTTATGAATTATACTGCTATGAATATAGTGCAAACATATCTGTTCAATTCCCCGCATTAATTCTTTTGGGTATCTACTCAGAATTGGAGTTGCTGGGTCATATAGTAATTCTATGTTTAATTTTTTGAGTAATCGTCATACTGTTTTCCACAACATCTATGCTATTTTATGAGAAAGGACACTTTAACACCAATTTTAAAAAAGGGAGGAGGAGTAAGAGACAGTCATTTAAATGGGAAAACTCTCCACATTGCATTTCTCTATGTGGCATCCCCAAGCACCTGTGTACATATTTCGGTGGGGTGCACCATTGTACATAGGATGGTGGGGTGCACCTTTGGGAACCACGCTCGAAGAAACAGACAGGAAAGAGCTCAGTCGACGCCTTCTACCAGGGTCCCCTGGTCCCCCAGGCTCAGTTCTGCCCATTTCTCCAGCTACCCTTCAATCATTCTTTTGATATTTGGTTTCCAGTTCTCTTTACATGATAGACACAGAAATATGGTGTTAAAAAACAGATATATAATGGGGCACCTGGGTGGCTTAGTCGGTTAAGCATCCGACTTTCGCTTAGGTCATGATCTCACGGTTCGTGGGTTCGAGCCCCGCATCCGGCTCTGTGCTGACTGCCAGCTCAGAGCCTGGAGCCTGTTTCAGTCTGTGACTCCCTCTCTCTCTGACCCTCCCCTGCTCACGCTGTCTCTCTCTCTTTCTCCTAGAAATAAATAAAACATTTAAAAAAATTTTTAAAAATATATAATATACATCCACACTATTACAAAATGTAACAATGATCTAAAATGCAATGTAACCATATAGTTGGGCCAGATTAAAACTGCTCAGTTTATCTGTTCCTCCATTTCCCAGAGTGGAGCCTTCCTAGCTTTTCCTCTGGCTGCTCCCACCCACCCCCCTCGAAGTTGGAGAGAATGCTTATCTGGCTTCAAATAATTCCACAAGCTTCCCCAGTCTGGGCATTCCTACTTTCCTTCTGTTCTGCAAAGGGATCTCTCCATCATTTTATTGTATTTTAGGCTGTTTAGGTACAGAGTGTCTCTTTATTGAGCGCTGACTTTCATATAATAAATGCACAGTTTACGAACGTTCCATTCCTCGAGCTTTTACAATTGCACGTAGGCCTGCCTGGAAACGAGATGGAGGGAGCGTTTCTGTCGCTCCAGAAAGTTTCCTTGGTGCCCTTTTCAGGGGATCCCCCCCACCTCGTCCCTACCAGCAGCGGTGTCCTAGTATCTAATTAACAGCGGGTTTTTGAAATGAGAGAGAGGCTGGCAGACAGATGAAAAAGAGAGAGAGTCAGGCTGATTCATCATGTGTGCCATTTGCCCTTCCCTGTGGGGGAGATATTTCCACAGTGGCCACTTTTCAGCTCTCAGGAAGCTGGAAGAAAGGTAACAATCTGCGTGCGCGAGGCAGGACAGGCCGGCGCCTGCACCCATACCCTACAGACACCTTAGATGCTGGTTCCTACCCCACCAATTACTTCCCCGTGTTCGAGAGCTTGGTAGAAACCGAGCGGTACCGAGTGCACTTCCGTTGCCGATTCTTCTGCACATTCTGTCTGCCATTCGTTCACGCGGTTGCATCTAACGACAGTAGTTGGCTCTCTTTCCTTGCTTCATATTTCGGGGTGCAGATTTGGGTGACGGCCCTTCCCTCTCCTCGAGGGGGAATAAGAGATCCAGTCTTTTCTCAGGCTCAGAATGGTCCATTCTCTTCAGTTCCCTCTCGGGGGCTCAGCTCACACGCCACCCTTTGCACAACGCTCCTAGTCCCCCCTTCTGGAATTTCTTTTTTTTTTTTTCTTAATGTTTTTTATTTATTTCTGAAAGAGAGAGAGAGACAGCATGAGCAGGGGAGGGTCAGAGAGAGAGGGAGACACAGACTCTGAAACAGGCTCCAGGCTCTGAGCTGGCAGTCAGCACAGAGCCTGACTCGGGGCTCGAACCCACGAACCGTGAGATCTTGACCTAAGCGAAAGTCGGACGCTTAACCGACTAAGCCACCCAGGCGCCACCCCCCTTCTGGAATTTCTGATATGCCCTGCCTGCTTCTGGCTGGAGCTCTTGTGGTCTCCCAGGGATCTTACGGCTCTTGCACTCTGCCCTCCTCACGAGCGATGAACGTTTTGAGGGCAAGGAAGTTCTTGGATTTGTCTCTCCCCCTCCCAGTCCACGCACACGGCTTGAATAAGTGAAAGGGGCGTCCCTGTCCTGGAGATTCCTGATGATCACATGGTTCTCACCGCTGGATACAGAGCATGAGCTTTCACTGCTGAGCTAACACTCCAGATTCACGGCCTCCACCCTCCTCTCTATTAGCGAGCACACAGCACAGTTACATATCTCTGCACTTATCACAGCATTCTTCGCACACGTGCTCCCTGGTCCCTGAAACATGGGTGTCTCCTAAATCTGTCCCCTGGCCCAGAAAATAAATTTCTAATAGTTTCGGTGGATTCAATCCAAGGTGACGTTTATCTTGTCCAGGCACGATCTGGTATCAGCATCACGTATGTATGCTCCTCCTATCTCGAAAGGCACCCTAAACTTTATCTCTCTTACCTGTGCAGTAGATTAGCAAAAACAATGGCTGACATGCCCCCTTTGGGTTCCTAGAACACCCAGCAATCCTACGCTTAGGCACCTAGCCTAGGAAACTCTTCCCTTGTATACCTGGGGGACACAGACACTAATGGTCTCAATGGCAGGAATCTGGAAAGTACGCAAATACAGATCAATGGAAAAATATTCTAGAATAGTCCCACAAATAAACGCTAAGCAGCAGAAAACTCACCAATGACAACATTAAAAAAGTCTTAGAAAAGCCAGGTGGGACACCTGGCTGGCTCACTCAGTAGAAGACGTGACTCTTGATCTTGGGGTCCTGAATTCCTGCCCTGCGTTGAGTGTAAAAGTCTTAGAAATACAGAGTTACAGGGGCGCCTGGGTGGCTCAGTCGGTTAAGCATCTGACTTTGGCTCAAGTCATGATCTCACGGTTCGTGGGTTCGAGCCCCACATCGGGCTCTGTGCTGGCAGCTCCGAGCCTGGGGCTGCTTCCGATCTGTGTCTCCCTCTCTCCCTGACCCTCCCCTGCTCACGTTGTGTCTCTCTTTCTCTCAGAAATAAATAAAACATTAAAAAAAAAAGAAAGAAATACAGAGTTACAGAATGAGTCCTTAGGACTCCATGTTGATACAGTGAAATTGGCACAGTATCATTAGCCCCCAGGGAATTGCAAGTCGAAGCCCCCGGTGAGGCAGTACTACCTCATGCCATCAGAAGGGCTAAAATAAAAAAGGCTGACAATATCAAGTGCTGGCAAGAATGAGGAGAAAATGCTGCTCTCACACTTGCGCTGGTGGGAATGCAGACACGGTACAGCTTCTCTGGAAAACAGTCTAGTAGATTCTGAGAACGTTATGCAAATACGTACTCTATGGCCAGCAGTTTCGCTCCGGGGCGGGGGAGTGTTGACCCAAGAGAAATACACCCTTGGGTTCGCACAGAATCTGAACGTGAATGTTCACAAAAGCTTTCCTGCTAAGAGACTGAAGACTGGAAACGACCCAAGTGCTCTTCGATGGGTGAACA